GGAATTTGATTTGCCTGATTGGTCGAAGTTTGAGGAATTTGATTTGCTCGATTGGTCGAAGTTTGAGGAATTTGATTTGCCTGATTGGTAGAAGTTTGAGGAATTTGATTTGCCTGATTGGCTGAAGTTTGAGGAATTTGATTTGCCTGATTGGCTGAAGTTTGAGGAATTTGATTTGCCTGATTGGTAGAAGTTTGAGGAATTTGATTTGCCTGATTGGTAGAAGTTTGAGGAATTTGATTTGCCTGATTGGTAGAAGTTTGAGGAATTTGATTTGCTCGATTGGTCGAAGTTTGAGGAATTTTATTTGCCTGATTGGTAGAAGTTTGAGGAATTTGATTTGCCTGATTGGCCAAAGTTTGAGGAATTTGATTTGCCTGATTGGCCAAAGTTTGAGGAATTTGATTTGACTGATTGGCCGAAGTTTGAGGAATTTGATTTGCCTGATTGGTAGAAGTTTGAGGAATTTTATTTGCCTGATTTGGTAGAAGTTTGAGGAATTTTATTGGCCTGATTTGGTAGAAGTTTGAGGAATTTGATTTGCCTGATTGGCCGAAGTTTGAGTAGCCTTACCTCATTGCTAGATCTTTGAGGCACTTCAGGTGCCTATTTGGTAGAAATTTTGAGAAATTTTAGTTGCCTGATTGACAGAAGTTTGAGGAACTTTATTTTCCCAAATGGTAAACATTTCAGAAAATTTTGGTTGCCTGGTTGGTAAAATTTGAGGGACTTTATTTGTTTGATTGGTAGACGTTTGAGGAACTTTGCTTACCTGATTGGTAAAAGTTTGAGGAACTTCAGTTGCATGACTGGCAGAAATTTGAGGAACTTTATTTTTCTGATTGGTTGAAGTTTAAGGAACCTTTGTTGCCTGATTGGTGGCAGTTTGAGGAACTTTATTTTCCTGGTTGGCAGAAGTTTTAGGAACTTCAGTCGCTTATTTAGTAGAAGTTTGAGGAGCTTTAGTTGCCTGATTGGTTAAAGTTCTAGCGACTTTAGTTGCCTGATTGTTAGATGTTTGAGGAACTTTATTTACCCGATTTGTGAAAGTTTAGTTGCCTGATTAATGAAAGTTTGAGAAACTTTACTTGCCTGATTGGTAGAAGGTTAAGAAACCTTAGTTCCCTGATTGGTTAAAGTTCTAGGAACTTTAATTGCCTGATTGTTAAAGTGTGAGGAACCGTATTTAAGTTTAATTCAGCTTCTGTGAATGTGATGCAAACCTTACTTACAAAATGCAAACTCTCAGGAAAGAATATCAGACATTTGTCATCTTTTTTCATCATTTTTTTTACTCTACCTGGATTTTGTTTCACTCTCCAAAATTTTAAGCATTTATTTCAGCAGTGTGTTATTATGCAGCCTCATCCAGCTCAGCCTGGAGCTCCGTCTGACTTTATTAAGCTCACTCTTCTCTTATTAGTGTCCATTTGCATTGGACACCTGCCATAACTCTCTCTCTCTCTCTGACAGCAGGCTGCCTGTTTCAGAGCTGCTGGTCAGAATTCATGAATTTCCAATTGAAAAAATACTAAATACCATCAGACAAACGCTAAACTGTTCATAAAAATATACTTAGCAGCTCTCTATAAACCTGAGATGTTCTCAAAAATAACCTTAATAAGTCTTAACTGAGCACTTCCATTGTTTATTTAAAATAAAGAGGTCATTAAAACATAAATAAAGCATAGTTAGGTTAAAAAAAATGTAGCTTATGTAGTTTATTGATATTCATCATCCATTTTTTTGAGTTTGCATTGAGTTTTTACCATGACACTCAATATATAACTACATTTTAGGCCCTCAAACAGGAGGACAATGGTACTGTTTTCTGAGTGCCAACATGGAATTTTTGATATTTGCATCCAAAGCTGTGTTATGTTTTTGAAAAAAATCTCTAAAGGAATTTGCAGCAGAATTTAGCTGTGGAAAGGTAAAGATTACAGATTCATGTAGTAATTCTATAAATATTAATACACTCCAGAAAAATAGTCTAATCATATCTTTCTGATGTTATTTCTGGTTGTTTGTCTCCAGGTGGCCTGACGTGTCGGCCTGATGAGTTTGTTTGCAATAACACCCTCTGTAAGCTGCTGGTGTGGCTGTGTGATGGTGAGGATGACTGCGGGGATAATTCTGATGAAGATTCAGAGATGTGTGGTACGTTTACACTAAATTAAACCCACAGATACGATGTGTTTAAGGTAAAAGGCAGTGATGACTGCTGGTCATCATTAAATAATTATGGACAGGTCAACTCAGACATTGGCTGAAGATCACTAACATCAAATAAGTTACCAGTACCATGATAGAAATAACAGCTGATTAGATAATCAGTAGTAATAGTAAGATATAAGTAAGAGAGAGATAGTTAACGAAGCTGTCTGGCTACAGTCATTAGCAATGGTCTAATCAGCTTTATTCAGAATCAGAACTGCAGTACAAGGTAGGTGTTTCTAATAAAGTGGTCAATTAGTTGAAGCACAGGGTGGGTGTTTCTAATAAAGTGGCCAGTTAGTGGAAGCATGGGGTGGTGTTTCTAATAAAGTGGCCAGTTAGTGGAAACACAAGGTGGGTGTTTCTAATAAAGTGGCCAATTAGTGGAAGCACAGGGTGGTGTTTCTAATAAAGTGGCCAGTTAGTGGAAGCATGGGGTGGTGTTTCTAATAAAGTGGCCAGTTAGTGGAAGCACAAAGTGGGTGTTTCTAATGAAGTGGCCAGTTAGTGGAAGCACAAGGTAGGTTTTTCTAATAAAATGGCCAGTATTAGAAGCACAAGGTGGGTGTTTCTAATAAAGTGGCCAGTTAGTGGAAGCAGAAGGTGGCATTTCTAATAAAATGGCCAGTTAGTGGAAGCACAAGGTAGGTGTTTCCAATAAAGTGGCCAGTTAGTGGAAACACAAGGTAGGTGTTTCTAATAAAATGGCCAGTTTGTAGAAGCACAAGGTAGGTGTTTCTAATAAAGTGGCCAGTCAGTGGAAGCACAGGGTGGATGTTTCTAATAAAGTGGCCGGTATTAGAAGCGCAGGGTGGGTGTTTCTAATAAAGTGGCCAGTATTAGAAGCGCTGGGTGGGTGTTTCTAATAAAGTGGCCGGTATTAGAAGTGCAGGGTGGGTGTTTCTAATAAAGTGGCCGGTATTAGAAGCGCAGGGTGGGTGTTTCTAATAAAGTGGCCGGTATTAGAAGCGCAGGGTGGGTGTTTCTAATAAAGTGGCCGGTATTAGAAGCGCAGGGTGGGTGTTTCTAATAAAGTGGCCGGTATTAGAAGCGCAGGGTGGGTGTTTGTAGCAATAATAAGACGCTCAAACGAGCCGAAGGAAAATGATCCTGAGTGAGACGTTAAAGAAAGCTGTTTGTTTTCTATCCTGCGTCGGCTGAGTGATCTGAATGCCGGAGCTGCCGCAGTTCATCACAGAATCCACTCGATTAGCCGTTCTGATGGCTGTGTTTGTCCCATTAATGATTAAAGAGCGAACCTCGGGCAGCAGCGCTCTGATCTTTATTCATGTCGTGTTGAGTGAGTGTGAGTTTTTAGTGAAATCCTCTGAGCGGCTCTCACAGAGACACAGAACAGAGTCAAACACAGGGTTTACTGTCTACTCAGGGAAAATTACAGAAAAATTACCCAGAATTCTCACCAACTAACTCTACTCTCAGCTGTGTGAGTCAGTGAGTCTCTCTTTCCCTTTATTCCAGCTTCCATTCTTCTCAGGAGACTCACTTTCAGTTCCTCAAAGAATCTGCAGACACACCTCCGAAGTTCAGTCTTAGAAGCTGGTTGATCGTTTTGTGTTTTGCACGATTCACTCTCAACGCGTATCACGACGTATGAAAAATCCTTGAAAGCAGTCCGTAACGTTGTGGGACGAAACCCTATAAAATATGAATGTATATCCTATAAGTATGTAACTACATGTAAAGTCATAGGTGAAGGTTTAGGAGTTTCCTCTACAGAGACGCACCTCTGCACTTTTTAATGCACAGCTACTGTTTATTCACTGAATTTAATGTATTGGAGAAAAACAAATCTGGCCTGTGTAAAAGTTATGGCACATTTTATAAGATAATTAATGTTAATTACACTACATTATTAATATCACTGCTACTAATAATAATAGTAATAATAAAAGCTAGAATAGTGCGTTTCCTGAAGAAAATGAAGAGTGATTGTGATTAAGCAATTTAGAACGGTTGCTAAGGTGTAGCCGTGTAGTTGCTATGGTATTTTTTAAGCTTGCTAGGGTCTTGATAGGTAGTTACTATGGAATTCCAAGTGGTTGCTGAGGGGTCGATAGGAGGTTGCTATGGTATCCAAGGTGGTTCCTACAGTTTTGTTAGCCAGTTGCTATGATAGCCCAGGTGGTTGCTAAGCTGTTGCAAGGCGGTTGCTGTCGTGTCCCAGGTGGTTGCTATGGTGTTGGTAGGGGGTTGCTAAGGAATCCCAGATGGTTGCTATAGTATCACAGGTGGTTGCTAAGGTGTTCGTGGGTGGTTAATATGTTATCCAAGGTGCCAAGTTGGTTGCTAGGGCATTGCTAGGTGGTTGCTGTGGTATCCCAGGTGGTTGCTAAGGTGTTGCTAGGTGGTTGAAATGGTATCCCAGGTGGTTGCTAAATTGTTGCCTTATGAATGAATTGCGAAGTGGTAGCTACCGGTTGTTGAAAATGAATGGGAGTCTATGAGAGGAACGAGGGATGAGAAAATGACACATAGAGGAGTGCGGGTCAGTATGACTGTGCAGTAGAGTTTGAGGACCTGCCCTGAGTGAATACATGCAGTTTGGTGGCTGTCGGGCAAAGAAATAATTGGGCTTGTGTGGGGGCAGAAATGAATGGGTCTATGGGAGAAACAAGGGATGAGGGAAAAAACAAAAACAGATGAGTGCGGGTCAGAACAGTGAATTTGTGCCTGGGGGCCTGGCCTGAGATAGTATATGTGAAACGGAGTATTTAGTAGAGCAGAGGTGCAGCAGCTGGATGTACAAGTTTTACCCCATTCACACAAAGATTGTATGAAAAGCCGTATACAAGCACACATTCCTGATCAGTGGGAACTTGTGTAAGTATGACGTGTGTGTGTGTGTGTGTGTGTGTGTGTGTGTGTGTGTGTGTGTGTGTGTAGTGAGGTTGCTGTGTCCTCCGAGCAGACCGTTCCGCTGCAGAAACAACAGAGTGTGTGTGAGGACAGAGCAGGTGTGTAACGGAGCGAACGACTGTGGAGACAACTCAGATGAGGAGAAGTGTGGTGAGCACACACACACACACACACACACTCACACACACACACTCTCACACTCACACACACACACATTCACACATACACACATACACACTCTCACACTCACACATACACACTCACACACACTCTCACACTTACACACACACACTCACACTCACACACACTCACACACACACACACTCACACTCACACACACTCACACTCACACACACACACTCTCACACTCACACATTCACACATACACACATACACACTCACACACACTCTCACACTCACACTCACACACATTCACACTCACACACACACTCACTCTCACACTCACACACCTTAAAGCATTAGAGTATGATACACATCTATACAGACTACTGTATTTACTCTCTCTCTTTTTCACTTTCTTTCTCTTTATCTCTATCCTTTTTCTCTCTACCTCTCTTTTTCTTCTTTTCCTCATTCTTACTCCTTCTATCTCTCTCTCTCTCTGTCTCTCTCTCTCTCTCTCTCTCTCTCTCTCTCTCTCTCTGTAGGTGTGGATGGTAAAGCGAGGGCGTGCGGTAAGGCGGAGTTTTCCTGCTCTAACAGCCGCTGTATTCCGGCGGAGCTGCAGTGTGATCTGTTTGATGACTGTGGTGACGGCGGCTCGGACGAGCGAGACTGCAGACAGTGTGAGTTTTCACAATAAAACAAAGTTTCCCAGCGTCCCAGTCAGGAGAGGTGGTGTACACCAGCAGCGTCCCAGTCAGGAGACGTGATGTACACCAGTTTGGTGAAAGCCATCAGTTTAATGAAGACCTAACAGTAGATTTCAGCAGCCAGGCCAGTCTTCCAGATCAGATTAGGACATTCCCAAAAAACACAGGACTTTCCTTCCTAACTTCCTGACTTCACTCCCATCGGAGCGTCCGAGCTTGTCCGACACTAAACACTAAGTGTAATCCCTCTCTGAGGACTGAGCTCCGTTTATGGACGGCAGCTGTGCGGGCCTCGGAGCTGTTATCCTGTGCTGATGTAGCTCTGTCTGTGTTGTAGTGTCGGTGGACGGCAACTGCAGAGGACAGTCACAGCTGTGTGGAGACGACGCCTTCTGCAGTCTCACGGCCGCTTGGCCGGTGTGTGAGTGCAGAGCCGGATTCAGGAGAGATCAGCGCAGCAAGACGTGTGAAGGTACCGAGAGAGGGACGTCTGCAGATGTGTAGTGTGCTTCTGACAGTAAAACACTGAATATCATTAGAATAAATACAAATAAACATAAATACATAAACAAGAATTTCTGAGGTCACTGATATCTTGGACAGAAGAACACAGGTTCAGTTCATCCACTCCTCCAGGGTTGATTAAACTGATTTAATCATCATTGAAAAGATTTAACCTAATAAAGGATTGATTAAACAGATTTAACCTAATAAAGGATTGATTAAACAGATTTAACCTAATAAAGGATTGATTAAACAGATTTAACCTAATAAAGGATTGATTAAACAGATTTACATTATTGAAGGATTGATTGAAAAGATTTAACCTAATAAAGGATTGATTAAACAAATTTAACTTAATGAAGGATTGATTAAACACATTTAGCTTAATGAAGGATTGATTAACCAGATTTACATTATTGAAGGATTGATTAAAAAGATTTAACCTAATAAAGGATTGATTAAACAGATTTAACTTAATGAAGGATTGATTAAACTGATTTAGCTTAATGAAGGATTGATTAATCAGATTTACATTATTGAAGGATTGATTAAAAAGATTTAACCTAATAAAGGATTGATTAAACAGTTTCATCTTAATGAAGGATTGATTAAACAGATTTAACTTAATGAAGGATTGATTAAACACATTTAGCTTAATGAATGATTGATTAAACAGATTTAGCTTAATGAAGGATTGATTAAAAAGATTTAACTTAATGAAGGATTGATTAAACTGATTTAGCTTAATGAAGGATTGATTAACCAGATTTACATTATTGAAGGATTGATTAAAAAGATTTAACCTAATAAAGGATTGATTAAACAGATTTAACCTAATAAAGGATTGATTAAACAGATTTAACCTAATAAAGGATTGATTAAACAGATTTACATTATTGAAGGATTGATTGAAAAGATTTAACCTAATAAAGGATTGATTAAACAGATTTAACTTAATGAAGGATTGATTAAAGAGATTTAACTTAACGAAGGATTGATTAAACAAATTTAACTTAATGAAGGATTGATTAAACACATTTAGCTTAATGAAGGATTGATTAACCAGATTTACATTATTGAAGGATTGATTAAAAAGATTTAACCTAATAAAGGATTGATTAAACAGATTTAACTTAATGAAGGATTGATTAAAGAGGTTTAGCTTAATAAGGGTTGAATTTCCTCACAGAGAGCTTTAGAAACAGTAATTATTACACAATGAATTATTTGTTTATTTGTATTTATTCCAGATAAATGGCTGTACAGATCGTTTTACGAGTTTTAGACAGTACTGCACATGTGTAGGATTATCAAACACATTATCAAATCCCTCCAAATATCAGAGACAAATGAAGATACAAGACATTTAGCACATTATTTACTGAAAATATGAACAAATCTCTCTCTCTCTCTCTCTCTCTCTCTCTCTCTCTCAGAGGTGAACGAGTGTCTGATGTTTGGAGTGTGCTCTCAGTACTGTGCGAACACTAAAGGATCCTATAAATGCACCTGTGACAGGAACTTTAAAGAGTTTGATGGTGAATGTATCACTAAAGGTAAGTTAATATTCAGTGAGTTTACTTTATATCATCATTTAAATGTGATCCACAGGGGCGACTGTGGCATTCTGGGCCCCTGAGCAGGAGTTTTTTGGGGGGGGAGAATAGAAAAATATGTCCACAGAGGCTTCAAGCTATCATTTTAATATGTAATATTAGTTTATAATGTTAGTAATTTATTTGATGTGACCTTTTCATATTTTAGCCGTCTGTTTATCTGAACTCTGCGTGACATGTTTGTTTATTTTCAGAATTATTGTGTGAGGGCCGGTCATAATCCGAATATTTACGCATATAAATCATATAAATAGTCTTAAGGAAATGTTAAAGTTACGAATCCAAACTTTATTTGCATAACATTAGCAAAACAGGTTGCTACCTAATTTACAGTAAAACTAGAGGCTAACTAATAACAATGACGACCACAAGTGGTGTAAATTGTGTACATTTTTTTTAAAAAATGGTCAGTTTTATGTATTTCTTATGATGGAATGTTAATAAGGTTCTAACAGCATCTCAGCATTTGCCGTCCAGATTGACTACTACTTGTTTTCTGACCAAAAGCAAAAACAAAAACAAAAACAAAAGAGTAAAAAAAAAAGTGAACCATTCAAAATGAAACCGATTCATTAATCTTTGAACTTTTTATCACTGTCTTCTGTTTTTTAAGACATGATCAGTCACTTTTCCCCTCATTCCAGTGTCTTATTAGACAACATAATAGTAACTCACCATACCTAAAGGTTGTCAGGGGGCCCCCTGGTGGCTGCAGGCCCATAAGCAGCTGCTTATGTTGCTTGTTAGATAGAGCCGTCTCTGATAATTGCTCAATTAACCAGCTAATTACTTATTTAATGAGTTATATTGTTATATAACAAAACTCTCTTTGTTCTGGAGGCAAGTCTGAATCTGCATGTCTCTCCACTTTTCTTTGTCTTTGATTTTCCTTTGTTTTGTTTGAATGAACTGAGTGAGTGACAACAAATTAATAATAAAACATTTCTATAACAGTCCATTATAGTTTTGTTATTGCTGACGATGCTTCTTATTGTCAGTCAAAGCCAGGAGATGAATGTGTGTTTGAAAGCTGTTGTCAGGTAGTGAATTTGTGAATATTATTTTTTTTCCTCAGGCCCGGAGGATCAGGTGCTGTACGTGGCAAATGATACGGAGATCCACAGCTTTGTTTACCCGTTTAATCAGAGCCACGGACACACCCAGCTCGCCCGACTGGCCGATAACGCCCGCATCGTGGGGATGGACGCCCTCTTTCACCTGCACAAGTTTGTGTGGGCGACCCAGTTTAACCCTGGGGGGATTTTCTACAGAGAGCTAGGGGACAGGACCCCCAGCCGGGGGAGCAGTGGAACCATTGTGAGTAAAATAGCAACAAAAACATCCAAGCTACCACGTCAGTGTCACTGCTGTGCTGAGAATGGACCACCACCCAAATAATAGCTGGACAACAGCGGTTATGGTCAGAAACCTGGCCCTGTGGTCAGAAACGTATTTATTTCTACTAATTTATTTCTAATATAGTGTCCAGGTTGCTATTAGACAGGGTCTAGATTAGTCCAGATGGATTTTGGAAAGAGTCTACATTAGTCCTAATAGATGTACGAGAGGGTCTAGATTAGTCCAGATGGATGTTAGAAAGGGTCTAGATTAATCCAGGTGTATGTTGGAAAGGGTCTAGATCAGTCCAGGTGGATTTTGGAAAGGGTCTAGATTAGTCCCGGTCTAGATTAGTCCAGGTGGATGTTGGAAAGGGTCTAGATTAATCCAGGTGGATGTTGGAAAGGGTCTAGATCAGTGCAGGTGGATGTTGGAGAGGGTCTAGATCAGTGCAGGTGGATGTTGGAGAGGGTCTAGATCAGTACAGGTGGATGTTGGAGAGGGCCTAGATTAGTGCAGGTGGATGTTGGAGAGGGTCTAGATTAGTGCAGGTGGATGTTGGAGAGGGTCTAGATTAGTCCAGGTAGATATTAGAAAGGGTCTGTATTAGTCCAGGAGTTGTCAGTGCTGGGTAAAGACACCTCAGTGATCTTCTCAGCCTTCCCCTCAATCTGCTGCATGGTCCTGATGTCTGAGATGGTGAAACAGCAGGTCAGGTGTGTTGAGGGTCCAGGTGAGGTCGTCAGTGATGTGCACACCGTGGAATTTGGAGCTTCTGACTTTGTCCACAGTTGAACCATCAATAATAAATAAGAAGAATAAGTCGGCTGATGCTCCTGCTTTCATCGTTGGTCTTAGAACAGTAACATCATTAAAGAGTTAAACTGCACCACATTAAAGGGTTACAGTGAGCCGGGAGGCGTGAGTGATGTGTAATGATCACTCTGCTGCTTTTATCATCCATCAGTAAACGTTTGTTAGTCTTTTTAGTGGATATTCTGTCTTTTCCTCTAATCTTCATCAACATCTCTCTCCCTTTACAGAGTCAGGTGTGTCTATTTATAGTTAAATCAGATTCAGCCGTGAGAGAGTGATTATGAGCAGGTGTGAAAACTTTAGATCCTCCAACACTCTGATTACATCATCAGCACCACACACCTCTCACAGAGAGTAAAGAGGACAGACTGCAGGGCTACGTTAGCTCTCTCTCTTCCTCTCTGTCTCTCTCTCTCTCTCTCTCTTCCCCCCTCTCTCTCTCTCTCTCTCTCTCTCTCTCTCTCTCTCTCTCTCTCTCTTCCTCTCCCTCTCTCTCTCTCTCTCTTCCCCCCTCTCTCTCTCTCTCTCTCTCTCTCTCTCTCTCTCTCTCTCTCTCTCTCTCTTCCTCTCTCTCTCTCTCTCTCTCTCTCTCTCTCTCTGGCTCTCTGATTACAGTAGGTGACACTGATTCCTCCTCTAAAGATTTATTCTGTGACATCAAAGAGTAGAGCAGTAATTACATATCGATATGTGAGAGAGAGAATATTATGATTGAACCTTATCTCTCTCTCTCTCTCTCTCTCTCTCTCTCTCTCTCTCTCTCTCTGTCCGTCTCTCTCTCTCAGCTGTAATTCAGTTCAGCTTTCTTGAAGTGAACGTGTCCACTCCGTTACTGCCAAAGCACACAATGTTAAGATTTTAAAGCTTATGAAGGTTTTTTAAGGGTTTTTTGAGAGCTTTGACCATGGTTGAGTTTTGGTGGGAGAGTTTTGGTTGTAGTGGGAGAGTTTTGGTGGGAGAGTTTTGGTTGTAGTGGGAGAGTTTTGGTGGGGGAGTTTTGGTTGTAGTGGGAGAGTTTTGGTGGGAGAGTTTTGGTTGTAGTGGGAGAGTTTTGGTGGGAGAGTTTTGGTTGTAGTGGGAGAGTTTTGGTGGGAGAGTTTTGGTTGTAGTGGGAGAGTTTTGGTGGGGGAGTTTTGGTTGTAGTGGGAGAGTTTTGGTGGGAGAGTTTTGGTTGTAGTGGGAGAGTTTTGGTGGGGGAGTTTTGGTTGTAGTGGGAGAGTTTTGGTGGGAGAGTTTTGGTTGTAGTGGGAGAGTTTTGGTGGGAGAGTTTTGGTTGTAGTGGGAGAGTTTTGGTGGGAGAGTTTTGGTTGTAGTGGGAGAGTTTTGGTGGGGGAGTTTTGGTTGTAGTGGGAGAGTTTTGGTGGGAGAGTTTTGGTTGTAGTGGGAGAGTTTTGGTGGGAGAGTTTTGGTTGTAGTGGGAGAGTTTTGGTGGGAGAGTTTTGGTCGTAGTGGGAGAGTTTTGGTGGGAGAGTTTTGGTTGTAGTGGGAGAGTTTTGGTGGGAGAGTTTTGGTCGTAGTGGGAGAGGTTTGTCGATGGTCGAGTTTTGGCAGTGGGAGAGGTTTGACAATGATTGAGTTTTGGCAGTGGGAGCGTTTTGGTGGGGGTGGGAGAGTTTAGCAGTGGGAGCGTTTTGGTGGGGGTGGGAGAGTTTAGCAGTGGGAGCGTTTTGGTGGGGGTGGGAGAGTTTAGCAGTGGGAGAGATTTGGTGGGAGTGGGAGAGTTTTGGTGGGAGAGTTTTGGTGGGAGTGGGAGAGTTTAGCAGTGGGAGAGTTTTGGTGGGGGTGGGAGAGTTTAGCAGTGGGAGAGTTTTGGTGGGGGTGGGAGAGTTTAGCAGTGGGAGAGTTTTGGTGGGGGTGGGAGAGTTTAGCAGTGGGAGAGATTTGGTGGGAGTGGGAGAGTTTAGCAGTGGGAGAGATTTGGTGGGAGTGGGAGAGTTTTGGTGGGAGTGGGAGAGTTTTGGTGGGAGAGGGAGAGTTTAGCAGTGGGAGAGTTTTGGTGGGAGAGTTTTGGTGGGAGAGTTTTGGTGGGAGTGGGAGAGTTTTGGTGGGAGAGTTTTGTTCCATTGAAAGAATATTGGCAGTGAAAGAGGTTCGGCTGTGGGAGAAAAGTAACAGTAATAACAGAACAAATATGATAAAAATATTCATAACCCAGTTTCTTCTTCTTCTTCTTCTTCTTCTTCTTATTATTATTATTATTATTATTATCATAGTATTTCTAAAAATATTGTTGTTGTAATAAATCGTTATAAGATCCAAGGTGCTGAAAACACATCTGTATGCTGCACGTTTGAGAATGTATCTCCATGTTTAATATTTAACAGTAAACTGACGCTCTTGCATGGTTTATTTCCTTCGTTGAGGTTTAAAATATCAGGCAGCCATCATAACTGTTTCCTTTTATATGTGTATTTAAACATTTACATTTCTGTTTGTAGCTGATTTGTAGCTGTTTCAGCTTAGTTTTTAAAATAAATAAAGAACATAATATGATTGTTAGAAATAATGTTGTTATAATTAATTTATATAATATCATTAATTTATAATAATGTGCGTAGTGTCCAGATTTCCGGAGGCCGAGGGATATCTCTGCGGACTGGGTGACGGGCGCTCTGTACTGGACGGATCACTCCCGCATGCACTGGTTCAGTTACTACACTGCCCACTGGAGGCGCCTGCGCTACTCCATCAACGTGGGTCAGCTCAGCGGACCCAACTGCACCCGCCTCATCACTGACCTGCAGGGGGAGCCCTTCGCCATCACCGTAAACCCCGTCCGAGGGTACGGAACCAACACTGCTGGAGACAGAGAGCAAAAGCTAATGCTAACCTGAAGCTAACCCTTAGAACTCAAGATTATCATCATTTACTCCAGTTGCTTAAATGTAATTATTTAATTAGATGAATTCTAGTTGAGTAGAATGCATTACATCACACGGAACTCCCTCTGTCCAGGATGATGTACTGGACAGTGATTGGTGACCACTCACACATTGAGGAGGCGGCCATGGATGGTTCTCTGCGTCGCGTTCTGCTGGAGAAGAACCTGCGCAGGCCGACAGGTAGGGCTGGACGATATGGACCAATAATCATATCTCACTATTTTTATGCTGACCGCTGATACACAATGGAGATGCAGCTCCACACGAGACGAAGCACAAAACAAACAGGCTGAATGTCTTTCAGTGCAAAGGAGACCCGATTCTTTGCTCCCAGCAAAGAAAATGGACAAACGGAGACACTGGGCTGGTGTCCATTTAGGAAAAGTCAAAACAGCGTGAAGAGCTTCATCACAAGTTCTTCCACATTTAAATTGATGTTTTTGGAGATTCTGGTCCTTCTAGCATTTGTGAAAAAGTGCTATTTCCTTGAAGCTGCTTGGTCATCTTGGTTGTCACCCTGGGACGACTGTGATCGGTCAGTGAGTTTTTGTCGCCACTGACAGGTCGTGAATAAAATAACGTCACATTTTCGCAGCCTGAAGAACGGGGTTTGATGTTCAAGATACTTTTAATTGATACACATGTTTAAATTAATTGACTGTCATCCAAATAAATCAAATGAATAAACTGAGTTTGGTGTGTAACGACCTGAAGAGTTCACTAGAAGGTGGAGTCTTATTTATTAACGAAGACGTGCAATATGTAAATAAGCGGTAATTTAAACAGTGGCAGGACTAAATTTAGTTTTATTTGTTTAGTGGTTATCACAGCAGCCGTTGTCGCTTGGTAAGATGTGCTGCATGTTGTTTATAGAAATGACTATGTTTCTGACTTTATGCCTACAGAGCTCAGTAAGTGTACCAGGACTGTTTGCGTCTCTACAGGTTTGGCGATCGATTACTACGGAGAGCGGCTGTACTGGGCTGACTCTGAGCTCTCTGTGATCGGCAGCATTAGACTGGACGGGACGGACGTTCAGCAGGCCGTGAGGCCTCATCATGGTGAGAGACTGTGGTCAGAAGCTGACCAATAATGAAATAGAATAGAGGGGGCTAATAAACTGTACAGCAACAGGTAAAATTCTAGAGTCTGTAACTGAACATCTACATATAGTGGAGATATAGGAGAGGTGTTTCTAATAAAGTGGCCAGTTAGTGGAAGCGCAAGGTGGGTGTTTCTAATAAAGTGGCCAGTTAGTGGAAGCGCAAGGTGGGTGTTTCTAATAAAGTGGTCAGTTAGTGGAAGCACAAGGTGGGTGTTTCTAATAAAGTGGCCAGTTAGTGGAAGCGCGAGGTGGGTGTTTCTATTAAAGTGGCCAGTTAGTGGAAGCACAAGGTGGGTGTTTCTAATATAGTGGCCGGTTGGTGGAAGTACATGGTAGGTGTTTCTAATAAAATGGCCAGTTAGTGGAAGCACAAGGTAGGTGTTTCTAATAAAGTGGCCAGTGAGTGGAACCACAAAGTAGGTGTTTCTAATAAAGTGGACAGTTAATTGAAGCACAAGGTAGGTGTTTCTAATAAAGTGGCCAGATAGTGGAAGCACAAGGTAGGTGTTTCTAATAAAGTGGACAGTTAATTGAAGTACAAGGTAGGTGTTTCTAATAAAGTGGCCACATAGTGGAACCACAAGGTAGGTGTTTCTAATAAAGGGCATGAAAAGTGTAAATGTGGTTGGAATTCTGATGCAGTTATTATGGATTTGGGAAAGTGTGTTTTCGGATGTTTCCTACATGGATCTTTAACCCCGATCCACCTCCTGCGCCGCTGCCCGACGGTTGGTCGTGATTTAGTTGGCGCGTGTCCAATGTGTCCTACACACGTTCAGGAATTCACATCCATCCCGACAGCATATGTGTGTGTGTTTTCCCTCAATTGAATCATGGCAGCTTTATGAAATTCTTCCCTCCCGCTAAGTTGCTGGCTGCATTCCTGCCCACGTGTTTCATCGGACCCTCGCAGCGCTTAGCTGGACTGGCAAAATGGTTTTCTGTCATGTCACAGAGGAAAAAAAGAAAGCACTAAAAAAACCGCAGCTTCACCTGTTTTTGGGGAGAATTCTTTATCTTTGGTAAAGCAGACAAATGAAGGCGTCTAGCTGGATCATCTCTCACTGATTCAGACAGTTTGACATGAGTGGAATTGAATTCAGAGGAATGAACAGGAACGGGCTGGATATAGAGAGAGAGATGGGAAGACAGGGAGACAGAAGATGGACAGAAAGAGAGACGGCTGTGAATGGAGAACGAAAAACATGACATTTTATTCAGAGGATCAACTTCCTTCCTACTTAGATGGTCAACTTGTCATTCAATTACATTCAATTAAATATCACTCTACAAAAAGTGGAACACTTTTAACGTCAGGCCAGTCAGACTTACAGTAACAGAGCTGACGCAGAGTAACAGAGCTGACTTACAGTAACAGAGCTGACTTACAGTAACAAGGTTTACTTACAGTAACGAAGCCTACTTACAAAAACAGGGCTGACTTACAGTAGCAGGGTTGACTTGGAGTAACAGAGCTGACTTACAGTTACCTGGGTGACTTACAGTAACAAGTTTGACTTACAGTAAAAGAGCTGATGTACAGTAACAAGGTAACAAAGCCTACTTACAAAAAACAGAGCTGACTTACAATAACAGGGTTGACTTAAGGCAGCAAGACGACTTACAGTAACAGGGTTGACTTTGAGTAACATGGCTGACTTACAGGAACAGAGCTGACTTACAATAACCATGTTTACTTGCAGTAACTGGACTTACTTTTAGCCATAGAACAGAGATGATGTACGGTAACAGGTTTGACTTAGAGTAACAGAGCTGACATATAGTAACAAGGTTTACTTACAGTAACAAAGCCCACTTACAGTAATAGGGCCAACTTACAATAACGGGTTTGACTTAAGGTAACAAGACTGACTTACAGTAACAGATTTGACTTGGTGTAACAGAGCTGACTTACAGTAACAGGATTTGCTTAGAGTAAAATAGCTGACCTACAGTAACAGAGCTGACTTACTGTAACAGGGCTGATTTACAGTAACAAGGTTAACTTATAGTAATAAGGTTGACTTACAGTAACAGAGCTGACTTACAGTAAAAGCAGTGACAGTTACAGGGCTGGCATACAGTAACAGATATGACTAATAGAGCTGTGTAACAGAGCTGACTTACAGTTACAGGGCTTATTTACAGTAACAGGTTTGACTTATAATAACAAAACTGACTTACAGCAACAAGACTGTCTTACAGTAACAGGGCTCATGTACAGTAATAGAGGTGACTTACAGTAAAAGCAGTGACAGTTACAGGGCTGGCATACAGTAACAGATATGACTAATAGAGCTGTGTAACAGAGCTGACTTACAGCAACAAGACTGTCTTACAGTAACAGGACTCACATACAGTAACAGAGCTGACTTACAGCAACAAGACTGTCTTACAGTAACAGGGCTCACATACAGTAACAGAGGTGACTTACAGTAACAGGGCTCATGTACAGTAACAGGGCTGAATTACTGTAACAGGGCTAATGTACAGTAAAAGAGCTGGCTTACCGTAAAAAGACTGACCTACCGTAACAGGACTGACTTAGTGTAAGTTTATTAAGTTTATTAATAATTTGATCAAATGTTGATCGTCTTCAGAGGACCAATCCAGTACAGCTGCATGATGCTACTCTAATAAATCTATACTCATATCTATATTTCCGTTGAATGTTTTTACAGGTGTTTCTCAGCCGTTCCGTATCGATGTCTTTGAGGACTACATATATGGGACCAATCTGAAGCACGAGACCTTCCGGGTGCATAAGTACGGGAGGAAGCTGGCGGAGATGCTTCGTCTGCGAGTGGACAGAGCGTCCAGTGTGCTGGTGTTCCACCGTTATAAACAGCAGGAGGGTGAGAGACCCACTGACCCCACACAGGAACACAGACAGAGCCCTGAATCTGTCTGGAAATGGGCTTCATTTGATTCTGCAGAACCAAAGGTCCAAATGAGGAACAAACATAGTAATAACAAAAAACAAGAGCTGGAGGATTTCGGGTGAAGCCGGTGGTTTGCAGGTCGGGCCTGACTGAATACTTCAGTAGCCTGATAGAACAGTTGGAGCTAATCTGTTCTGTGCACATGTAAAAGGTGCACGGTGTTATTTTTATTGACTATTATCTATTCCAGAAGCTCAAATTTATAGAGAGATGAAATAAAATTACACAAAGGCTGCTTCGCTTTCTTCCCACAGCAGGACTGCATTTGTTGACTGTTGTATCAGGTTTCAGGTTTCATCATTTGGTCCAGTGTGTCTCAGAGACGCTCTGGAATCCAATCCCTCAAAACTCATTTCAGTTCACTTCCTGCTGCTTCATTATCCTGAAAAATAATGGTGCATTTGTGCTGCCAAGAGTTTAAAGCGGCTGAAACGTTGCAGTATTGCGCCTCTCTGTCTCTCAGTGCTGAACCCGTGTCTGAGGATGAGCTGTGATTTCCTCTGCCTGTTGAACCCCGACGGGGCGAGGTGCGTGTGTCCAGAGGGGAAGTCCCTGGTCAACAGGACCTGCAGGGACACCAGCGTCTCAGGTAACGCTGTCCGAACACATCACTGGTACATTTGAGATACATTAGAATCAGGATACAGTGATGTAAAATAAGGCAAAAAGGTTTAAGGGAAGCGATACATTAGTATGTTTTACATTCGTGTTAGACGTCACTGCAGGATGAGGATGAAATGGATGTACAAGCTTAAATTAACGTTAATATAGTATGAGTTTAAAATAGACTTGCTACGTTAGCAGGAGGGTAAATAATGTTGATACAAGGTTAGAAAAACGTGAGGTTGAAAATTAATAGCATTAGTACATGGACGACGTAGTAGGAGAAGAAGGTAACAGGGTTAAATGTTTTAATAGTTCCATAACGAGCAGCTTGTTGCTACGTCAGAGTAACGAGCTCCGCCCACTCGCTGCACAGCCGGCAGTTCGTTCTCCAGCTCCTCACACTAAATTCCCAAACTGTCATCACCACTGAGCAGCTTTTCAGTCGGCAGCTGTGACAGAAGAACAGCTGAACTACCTGGAATCAGCCAGAAATGAACCCAACACCATTCGCCAAACGTGTAGTCTGATCTTCAGAGTCTGACCAAATCGGACTGAGCCATAAAACTGCCGCAATATCAGGTTCAGCTCAGTTTTGTCAGTTTTTGCCAGATCAGTATTAATGTTGTTTTGTTCCAGCCAGTCTGTAAAGCATCTTACAGCCCATTTAGTTTGGCGAATGGTGTTGGGTTCATTTCTGGCTGATTCCAGGTTGTTTAGCTGTTCTTCTGTCACAGCTGGCGACTGAAAAGCTGCTCAGTGGTGATGACAGTTTGGGAATTTAGTGTCGTCTCATCTTCAGAGTCGGACCAAATCGGCTGTCGGTCAGATGTGATCTTAAAAGTGTCCGTTTTCTGTTTGTGGCAAAGTTAGAAGTAAAAACGTTCGAATGTCTTGAGCGTCTCCTACAGCTGTCAAAGTCGCTGCTTAGCAACGGCGTCTCAGCGGAGTGATACAGTGTTTGTGAAAAATCCGTGATGTTATGGTGAAATAACAGCACAGTTAGAACGCCTCTCAACCAATCAGCTCGCGTGGCCGAAACTAACTGTTGTATAAAAAACATTAGTATATGGGTTAATTCACGTTAGTATGAGGTTACATAATAATACAAGGTTAAATGATGTTAGTTTGACGTTAAACAATATTATTATGAGGTTAAACAGTAACAATACCGTCAGTACAAAGTATAAGATATTAGTAAGAGGCTAAATAATGTTAGCAAGAGGTTAAATGATATTAGTATAAGGCTAAATACTGTTAGTACAAGGTTAAGTAATGTTAGTATGAGGCTAAATAACATTAGTGTAAGGTTCGAGTCATGTTACTGTGAGATTAATATAATGCTGGTATGAGGTTATAATGAGTTTGGCACAGCAGTACAGTAACATCAGAACCAGCCTGAGAGCTCAGTGTCAGGCTTCTGTTTCCACTCCAGTGCTTCTGACTGAAGTGTTTACCACACGGAGCTCTGTACATCAAACACACACACACACACACACACACACACACACACACACACACACACTGTGCACCAGCTTTCTGAGCAGCTTTATGAATGTAGACATTTTGTAAAAGCAAACAGGTACATAAATTCAATGTCCAGTAGATGAACAGTGTACCTGCAGACTGCTTCACCAGCACTTTCTGTGTGTGGGTGTTTCAGGTGAGCTGTGTCGGCCGGTGTGTGAGAACGGCGGGCGCTGTGTGCTGAATGAGAAAGGACAGGCTCGCTGTCTCTGCTGGCCGAATTACTCTGGTCAGCAGTGTGAAATCAGCCACTGCAAAGAGCACTGCCTCAACGGGGGCACCTGCACGGCGTCGCCGCTAGGTAAGCACTATTACATCACCTGTCTGTATAAACTTCCTGTACACTAAACCTTACCCCGGCCAATTTATTAGAAACACCCACTTTGTATGTCCACTAACTGGCCACTTTATTAGAAACACCTACGTTGTGCTTCCACTAAGTGGCCACTTTAATAGAAACACCTACCTTGTAATTCCACTAACTGGCCACGTTATTAGAAACATCTGCCTTGTGCTTTAACTGACTGGCCACTTTATTAGAAACACCTACCTTGTGCTTTCACTAGCTGGCCACTTTAATAGAAACAACTACCTTGTCCTTCCACTAACTGGCCACTTTATTAGAAACACCTACCTTGTGTTTCCTTTAACTGGCCACTTTACTAGAAACACCTACCTTGTGCTTCCTCTCACTGGCTGTGAAAGAGAAAGAGAGAAGGAAAGAGAGAATAGTGGGGGTGTAAACAGAGAGAGATTGAGCCAGTGTAAGAGAAGGATGGAGCCGGAGAGGGGAAAAGAGAAAAATGTAGACGGAGAAGGAGAGGGAGAGAATAATTGACACAGAGGGAGAGATAGAGGACAGAATGACACTCAGAGCAGACGAGGGATCTGTCAGCGGGTCATTATCTGTGTCTGTGTGGTGTAAAAATATCAGTATCCGCACATCAGCAGAGCCACATTATCGGTGCTGTGGATGTTATAAGAGCTGAAAATTCTGCTCTATTTCACCATGAAGATCCACTCATCCCCGGCCGGTAATGTCTGCACTTACTGCCGATGATGTCACCTGGCAGCAAGAGAGAGAGACTGTTTTAGTACATGATCTTGGCTCTTCTAAAGGGCCTTTCGTGTTTTTCTCAGGAGGACACAGATGCTTACAATACGCACTAGGGCTTTCACTCACTGTCCACTTTATTAGAAACACCTACTTTGTGCCTCCAATAACTGTCCACTTTAATGGAAACACCTACCTTGTGGTTCCACTATCTGGCCACTATATTAGAAACACCCACCTTGTGCTTCCACTATCTGGCCACTTTATTAGAAACATCCACCTTGTACTTCCACTAACTGGCCACTATATTAGAAACACCCACCTTGTGCTTCCACTCACTGGCCACTATATTAGAAACACCTACCTTGTGCTTCCACTAACTGGCCACTTTATTAGAAACACCCACCTTGTGCTTCCACTAACTGGCCACTATATTAGAAACACCCACCATGTGCTTCCACTAAGTGGCCACTTTATTAGAAACACCCACCTTGTGCTTCCACTCACTGGCCACTTTATTGTCTTGTTTGAATTCAATTTGCTTCTTTAGTTTTAGCACTGGAGCTACAAGGCTAATGTAGCTAACTGTAATGGAAGTGTACGTCTCTCTGTAGGGAAGCCTGCGTGCCGCTGTGCTCTTGGTTTTTCCGGGCCGGTGTGTGAGAGGCGTGTGTGCGACAGTTTCTGTCTGAACGGCGGAACGTGCGATGTTACCCTCGGCAACCAGCCGTTCTGTCACTGTCCGGCAGAGTACACTGGAGAACGCTGCAGATACCGTGAGTAGAACATCTGTCCGCCATTGGATTCTGTAGCTGTACGTATGTCGGTGTAATTAAATAACGCCACAGTTAATTTCATTACATCAGCATTAGATTTCCCTTCTGTATGGACGGGTTTGAGTTTGAGCTTCTGATGTTTTTCTGTTTGTTTTGACATCAAAAAAATGACAAAAACAGCAAAAAACGTAAAGGATGTTTTTTTTTCTTTTTTCAAAACAAGATTGCAAACAAAATAACTTCATCATTTGTAAATGTAAAGAACATTTAAATCTTAAATATAATAAAGCCCTATTTGAGCTGGATTAGTCTTTGCACAGGAGGCCAGTAATGTAATCTGTGTATGACTTGACTGGCCGAATCATACGAAATAAAGGATCTCTATAATTTCCCCAAATTACCCCAGATATCCCAGCATTATGTGACAGGATCCACACTTCTGAACCACAACACCACACTATGTACCTAAATGATATCTAGACTAGCATTAGGCTTGTAAAGTGGGTTTGTTCAGCTTAACAAACGCCACCTAACAGTACAGCGGGGTAGAAAAAATGAATAGAAATGCACATGTATGCATAAAACATACATTTACATTTATGCCAGAGGCAAAACAGTACATTGATCCTACGGTCCTGTGTACCCTAATTTAATGACTAGGCTTTCTGTTCTTGTTTTAGGAATTTCCACCCACTCTTCCTTGTAGAACACTTCTTCTGCAATATTCTTGGATTGTCTTGTAAGCACAACATGTTTGACCCCTTAAATGGCCATGGCCCACCAGCAGGCCCAAAGTTTTCATACACACTTCTACAACCTAAGAATAGCCCAGTTTGCATTGAAGTCCCTGTAGTTACTGAATAATAAGCCTGACATTTTAAGGGATTAAGATCTACCCCCCACATTTCCAGTGATACTTTAGCTTACTTGGTGAATTTTGAGGAATGTTTTGTCGTGTTGAAGAAGCCAAACCCTTTTCAGCCCCAGTTATTCAGCGGAATCCATTCTTCCATCTACCCGTGCAGTGTTTCCTGTGCCGCTTGCTGCCACACAACCCCAAAGCCTATTAGATCCACAGTCAACACGGTGTTCCTTTCATCAAATGCTGCTCACATACCTTTGGTGATTGTAGCTAAGAGTTCCATTTGTGCTTCTTACGTCCACAGCAGTTCTTTCCAAATTGCCTCTGGCTTATCCAGGTGTTTGTTTTGCATACTGTACATATTAACTTTTATGATGAAGTCAGAGGTAAAGTTTCCTTCTGATGACTATAATTGATGCGGTCCAATCAGTAGGCAGCATTTAAGGCAGCACAGTTAGGCAGCTGCTTCCAGAAAGGAACACAGAGCACTGTAGCTCCGTCCATTCACCAAGGTTTAATAGGGTGTGTCTGAAAATGAAGGCAGCTCAGCTCAAGTCAGTGCCTTAGAAGGCAGCATTGTCCACTATGTCAGTTCTAGTGTTTTCTGCAATTTTTTTCAATCCACATTGGGTGGATACACAGGATTATGGGAAATGTAAGGCGACAGAGAATACTTCTACACTGCCTTCAAAAACGGCCAAACGGAAGAACCTCAGGAGGCAGCATTTTATATAAATATTGCATTTGGACATGACTGGCTGCCTTCCTGCCTCAGAATACTGTATGGGTAGGCAGTTGATTATTGGTGTGGTCTGATTGGGAGGCAGCTGTTTAAGTAGGCAGCATTTTAAGGCAGCATAGTTAGGCAGCTGCCTCCCGAATGGAGCGCACTATATGTTTGTGTAAACAACTCTGCGCAGTAGAACGCTGCACCACCACTCTTGTGTCTGCTAAACATTGCTGCAGGTCCTTTGTAGTCATATGGGGGTTTTGCTTTGCATTTCTATCTATCTATTTATCTATGTATCTATCTATCTATCTATCTATCTGTCTATCTGTCTGTCTGTCTGTCTGACAGTTTTGCTGTTTGTTTATCTGCAGATATATGTCATCATTTCTGCGTGAACTCGAAGGCGTGTACTCTGTCCAGCTCGGGGGACGTGGAGTGCGTGTGTCCGACGCGGTTCGAGGGTCTGAAGTGTGAAGTGGACCGGTGTGTCCACTGTCGGGGGGCTCCCTGCATCGTAGATAACAACACCGGAGACGTGTTCTGCAAGTAAGTATGTGTGTCTGAATGCAGGAATGCATGTGCGCAGCTATCATTCGTGACTGTTTTATCTTTTTTCTAATTGGCCCACCATCACCCCCCCCCTTTGAATGACCATCAAGACTTTGTTTGTGGTGACACACAGTCAGATCAGTGAGGTCAACTCATAAAGAGGGAGGATGTGGACCGATTAACACAGTGAAAACGTGTGAGAGGAGAAAAAAACAGCAAAAAATGAATGAAATGGAATATATAGTCGTCATGTCTCTACCTGGACTCTCCCTGGCTCCGCCCACTTGCACACCTGCAAGCCATCCTTGACTCATCATCTCTCTTTTATTAACCCCTTCTCCACTGGTTCCATTGGTTTGACCTGCTTGTCTTTCAATATATTATATAAATACAATAATCTGCGCCTTTCAGTACTCAATTTAGAAACAAACAGCCAATCACAGATCGTTCTGTCAGTGTGACCAGAACAGTAGAGATGGTCCTTTTGTATATCGCTGTTGTTAGATCAAAACGTCGTATCTCCAAAATGGTAACTTTACAGGTGAAGGAAAAAACCTGCTTTACTTTTAATGTAAGTCAATGGAACCAGACTGATGGAGAATGTGCTGTGTATGGTTCTGTATAGAACCAAAAAGGGTTCCACTATTGTTACAAGCCAATTTTTTGGTACTGTAATGTCCTGTCCTGCCTTATCCGTGTCTTTCTCTGTCTAATCCTTGGTTTCCTTGTTTTCCTGTCAGGTGCTTTTGTTGTTGTATTAGCTCCTCCCCTGTTCTGCCACGTCTTCAGCCCAAGCCTGTTTCTTGCTCTTGGCTCCGCCCCATTGAGTGTGTTTACATGCACTTAATTAAAAGGATCCTATAACTGCAGAAAATCAGATTCTGTCAGTAATCTGATCAACACGTTTACATGCACTTGAGTAATCAGATAATGGGGAAACTCCAGGGTCTACACGAGTCAGACAATAATCAGATTTCTGCTTTACAACCAGCCAATAAACTCACAGAAGAAGACGCGACATAAACGAAACGTAAAACTCAAACTTTATGCTGCAGATTTTTTTAAAACATTGCAACACTTTACCTGAAAATATGAACGTATGTCATCTAGAAGATGAGGAATATTTAAATCCTTCATTTCGTCAAGCATGTATTTGGTTTTTTCAGTACCGCCGTCTGTTTTCGCACATGCTCAGACTGAGAAATCCGAAAGAAATCAGAGTAAGAGTTCACATGCACTGAGGAATCTGATTACCGAGCTAAAATCCAGCCTCTTTATCGGATTTCTTAATCAGATTTTCTAGATCGGAGTATGGTGTTTACATGACCATTTGAATAATCAGATAACTGCAGGAATGTGTGCATGTAAACGCCCTCACTGTTCTCAGCTGTCCCTCCTCTTGAGTGTTTATATATTTATACCCCTCTGTTTGAGTTCATGTTCACAGTTAATGTTTACTGGTTTTCTTAGTCAGTTTAGTCGTATTTCCTGTTGTATTCATGGATCCATGAGCCATTTATGTTCCTGTCTGTTTTCTGGATGTTCAGAATAAGGACTAAAACAGGACCCTCGCGCCTGTACCCCACCTCCTCGTCTGCCTCGGCAGCCCAGCGTTACAGACACTATACAGAACCCTCTGGGCTAAGAGTGTAGGCGTACCTGTTTGTGTGTTGTGGCATATTTACTGTATGTTATTGTTTATTTATGCGTGTCTGTGTGTGTAGCTGTACTAGTGGAAGAATCGCGTCTAGCTGTCAGTTGTGTGATGGTTACTGCTACAACGGAGGAACCTGTCACCTGGACTCGGAAACCTCTCTGCCCTTCTGCCAGTGAGTTCTGCACTGCACACTGCTCATACAGAAACATCTCCCACTGGTCTTCTACCAGCACTGTGCTGCTGCACACCTGTACCTCTGCTAGGAAACACTGCAGGGTTTAATAAGATCCTTAATAAGAGGATTTTAATAAGATTTGTAGATTGATTCAAAAGTCATTCAAGGCATTAATCAGGTGAGGTAGAGTACTGCCACTGCTAGGAGTAGCACTGCTAGTACACTGCAACTAATACTGCTACTGCAGTGGGACTACTGCTACTAATACAATACTAATACAAGTGGTACTGCTGCTGCTACTACTACTAGAAATAGTAGCACTACTACTACTACTACAATTAGCACTGCTACTGTTACTACTAATTAAAGTAGTACTACTGCTACTAATACTACTACTAGAAGAAGTAAGGTGCTGCTACTACAGCTACTACTAGAAGTCATACTGCTGCTAATTCTACTACCAGAAATAGAAGCACTGCTACTAGTACAACTGAAATTAGCACTGCTACTATTATTACTAATTGAAGTAGTACTGCTGCTACTACTGCTACTACTAAAGATAGTACTGATAATACTACTAGAGGTGACACTGCTACTATTACTACTACTACAAGACGTGGAACTGCTGCTGCTACTGCTGCACTGAACTACTACAGCTTGTTTATGATATTCACCAGCGAAAAAGTAAAGAGAGAGAGAGAGAGAGAGGGCGAGAGAGGGAGAGAGAGATGTTGGTCACTCCTCAAAAAATGACCCTCTCTTTCTGTCTCTCTGTCTCTATGTCTCTCTCTCTATCTCTCTCTCTCTCTTTCTCTCTCTCTCTATCTCTCTCTCTTTCTCTCTCTCTCTCTCACTCTCTCTGTCTCTATGCCTCTCTCTCTCTCTCTCTATCTTTCTCTCTCTCTCTGTCTCTCTCTCTGACTATCCCTCTTTCTCTCTCTCTATGTCTCTCTCTCTCTCTCTCTCTGTCTCTGTCTCTCTCTCTGTCTCTATGTCTCTCTCTCTCTCTCTATCTCTCTCTCTCTCTGTCTCTATGCCTCTCTCTCTCTCTCTGTCTCTCTGTCTCTCTCTCTCTCTCTCTCTTTCTCTCTCTCTCTCTCTCTCTCTCTCTCTCTCTCTCTCTCTCTCTCTCTATGTCTCTCTCTCTCTCTCTCCTCTCTCTCTCTCTCTCTCTCTCTCTCTCTCTCTGTCTCTATGCCTCTCTCTCTCTCTCTGTCTCTCTGTCTCTCTCTCTCTCCTGCTGTATAAATTTTCTATTTCTCGCCTCCACGAGACAAAGTAGTCCACGTTTCTCCTCGTCTGCAAAAACACACCTGATCCCGCTCTCATTATCATCATCATCATCATCATCATTATCATTATTATTATCATCATCGTCGTTATTATTTTTTATTTTCTCTCTCTGGACACCATTAAAAGTTTTGCGGCTGCGTCTCTCCAGAAGCGACTCTATTTGTATGCAGATGACTGCGGCGGGTTTCTCTGAGGTTAAAGGACCTTGATGAAAGCGCGCAGAGAACGGCTGCAGATTACCTGGGACGATTAGCATATTAACAACAGCAGCTCTTCATCCCTCATTCTTTACTTCTTCTTTCTTCCTTCAAGAGCTTCGTGTTTTCCTCATCTCCTGATTTTTTCCATGCTGAATGGTTTTTGTGGAAGACGGCGTCTGTCTGAATCCCCCGATGGCGGCGTGTGTTGTTTTTGATTGTTTCTGAGGCCTTTCAGACCCTCCTCGTATCAGTGACGCTCTGGAAGACCACTGAGAGCTGCAGGACGCTCTTTTGTGCCGCTTTGGTGATTGTGGCTATTCAGGGGTCCATTGAAAAGCCGGACTGTGGAGAGTTTATTATCAGAGACGCTGTTTATCTTTCAGTAGACTTGTACACCTGACTTTTAAGCGGCAGGTCTGCTAATAGGTCCAGGTCCAGCGCCTCATTTAGACATCAAAGATTGTTAAAGAATTCTGGTGATTTTTTTTATTTCTGCATAATTTAATGCATAAGATAAACAAATTTATCCTAGAAAAAGTTGGGACAGTGTCTGAAGTGCTGATAGAAAACAGAAAGCAGTGATTAACAAATTCTGATAGACCTTTATTGAATTGAAAATAGCACAAAAAAAAAATCCTGGACTGCAGACAGGTCAGTCTAGTACTCACACTCTCTGATTAAACAGCCATGCTATTATAACATGTAAAATCTACACTCACTGTCCACTTTATCAGCTCCACTGACCGTATAGATTCACTCTGTAGTTCTACAGTTACAGACTGTAGTCCATCTGTTTCTCTGCATACTCTGTTACCCTGTTCTTCAGTGGTCAGGACCCCCATGGACCCCCACAGAGCAGGTACTATTTGGGTGGTGGATCATTCTCAGCGCCGCAGTGACACTGACGTGGTGGTGGAGTGTTGGTGTGTGTGTTTATTTGTGTTTTACCTACTGTCCTAACGCTTTTGAAACAGAGTTTTGTAAATAAGGTCATTCCGAACAGTCTGACGTGAAACCGAGTGGTGGTGATGGGAACCAGACATCCACCTCTAAAAGCTCCCTCGCTGAAAGATTCCTAATTGTACCACAGTAATCAAGCTTGTGCTGGAATATGAGCTTTTATGACGCTCTAAATCGTTTCATAATTAAAGTTGTATCGTTCTATGATGTATGCAAGTGTATATGTTGTTGCAGTTCGTGTGTACATACACTGCCTGGCCACTTTATCAGAAACACTTCTTTTGCAGCTTCTACCGTTAGGCACTGTAGCTTAATCTTAGGATTTACAGTTTGTGTTAGCCATCATCCATGGTCAGTTTATGACCACAGAGCTGTTCTTGGGTAAGACTGCTGTGTCTGATAAACTCGTACCAGCACCACACACGCTACCATGTCAGTTTCATTGCTGTGCTGAGAATGGACCACCACCCATAAAATATCTGGACAACAGCAGCCAGAAACTAACCAATGATGGATTGAGTAGAGAGGGTAGATAAACTATACAGCAACAGATGGACTACAATCTGTAACTGAACACCAACATAGTGTAGATATAAGGTAGGTGTTTCCAATAAAGCGGCCAGTCAGTGTAAGTATAAGGTAGGTGTTTCTAATAATGTGGCCACTTAGTTGGAAGTACAAGGTAAGTGTTTCTAATAAAGTGGCCAGTGAGTAGGGTGGGTATTTCTAGTAAAGTGGCCAGTTAGTGGGAAGTACAAGGGAGGTGTTTCTAATAAAGTGGCCAGTTAGTGAACATAAAAAGTGGGTGTTTCTAATAAAGTGGCCAGTTAGTGAACATAAAAAGTGGGTGTTTCTAATAAAGTGGCCAGTTAGTAGAAGTACAGTGTAGGTGTTTCTAATAAAGTGGCCATTTGGTGGAAGCACAAGGGGGGTGTTTCTAATAAAGTGGCCAGTTAGTGAACGGACAAGGTCAGTGTTTCTAATAAAGTGGCCAGTTAGTGAACATAAAAAGTGGGTGTTTCTAATAAAGTGGCCAGTTAGTAGAAGTACAGTGTAGGTGTTTCTAATAAAGTGGCCATTTGGTGGAAGCACAAGGGGGGTGTTTCTAATAAAGTGGCCATTTGCTGGAAGCACAAGGTAGGTGTTTCTAGTAAGGTGGCCAGTTAGCGGAAGTACAGGCTGGGTGTTTCTGATAAAGTGGCCAGTTGAGTATATTCATTAAGGCTATGTTCAAAAGTTTGGAATCACTTGTCATATTAATACTTGTTGTTATTGTATATACAATAGCAACTTTGTTTATTTTTTTATAATTATTGTCGGTCATCTCAGTGGTTGAGGCATTCTAGATATTGATTTTATTAGAACTTGATGTTGTGCAGCTTTCTCAGTCATTTTAGAATCTCCCACAACTGTTTATCATACATATCTAACATTTCTATATTTTTACAGCTTCCTACTGATCATCAGAAATCTTGTTTGTGGAGTATCAGCATCATATGATCTTTTTCTACATATATCAGGAAGCAAAATGTATTTAACATTATCGAAAACTCTGATTCCAAAGTTTTGAATGGTAATATAGTATCATTGCTGTCATGAGAAAAGCTTTAGAGAAGAAAAGCATTCGGTCTTAATTTATCAGCTACATTTGAAAGGTTCTGAAGTTTTCTTATGACATCACTGATGTGTTTGTATGTGTGAGCTGTTTTCTGTTGTTGTTTTCCTCATGTGTCCTTCGTCTCGCTGCGCTCTCCTCATCCTCAGCTGCCCGGCCGGGTTTAAAAGTCAGCGGTGTGACGAGCGGTCCGACCCGTGTGCGTTCTACTGTCAGAACCGGGGGATTTGCACCGTAACCGCCTTTAACAAACCGCAATGCAAGTAGGTGACCTCGTATCGCCCGCTAACGCCACCACGGTCACCATAGTGACCAGAAACATCCCAGCAACGTCACCCCAACCTCCTCCATCTTCCCCGAGCATCCGAGCTAGCATGTCTCCCGAAAACATCAGCACCCACTCAACCACACACACACTTACACACACCAACATACTGTACTGTGCAAAAGTCAGAGACCCCTCCCTCAAGTCAAAACAGCCATCAAGTACAAGTTCTTCATTTTTCAGGACAGATTTGTGAGGAGATTAGAAATAAGACAGTCCACTTACATAAAGTCAGACAGGAAAATAAGTGAAAGACAGGAGATCCAGAGAAAATGTGGCTCCTAACAACCACCTGGAAGAGCTGGTCGACCCCAAAACTGCCCCCATCAGATAAACAGCACTTAAAGCTTTCATCTCTGAGAGAGAGGAGAAAATCAAGCTGCTTCAGATCTGAAAACATCCACAGGTGTTTCTGTCCATCCTTCCACTGTGAGAAGACGACTCAGCGCTGTGGGTCTGAAAGGATGTGTAGCTGATCAAGAAGAACCTCACTGAGAAAAGGAGACGGACACACCAAACAAAGAAGCTGAACGATGGACTCGCGTCACATTTCCAATCACTACAGTTATGTAAGAAACTATAGATGAAGGCCGCTGTGATTAGGAGGCGCATCGAAATAAACAAGATGGACAGATTTAACTCATCTAAACCCTCAGTCATGTTTGCAGCCGTTTGCCATCTTTACATAGACATGTTTGTGTGGCTCATAGATGCTGGGCAGGACAAGCAATGGCGACATAATGAGGGCTGAAATCGTCACGCACCCCGCCAACGCCCATCTCGCACCTGGGAGCTCAAACGCACCGGAAGGTTCTGGAGCTCACTGTGCAGAGGCATTTTTCAAAGCAGCTTTGATCACCACCATGTCAAAAACATCCTTTAGAAAACTATCAGCCACAATCGGACCTTCCAGAAAGTCAATCCTTTCTTACAGCTTCATACTGTTATGCACCCCATTTTGCCCTGAGTGAGAATTGAGCTCACAACCCTTATATTCATAGTCAGGAGCACTAAGGGATGAACGACCTGGTGGACAATAGGGGATGGGCTCAAGCACAGAGCAACTGAGGGTCAGGGAAAAGAGAAATGCCAAAAAAGAGAGAGTGGGCTAAGAGCAGGAAACCAAGTTGGACGAGGACTAAAATAAAAAGCGAAACGAGAGAATATCTCCCTCGCTTCTGTGCTGGAAATCAATTAGAGGAAAAGCGAAGGGCTTCAAACTGAAGGGAATATACCGAAATTACCGCCTGTCAGAGCGTCCTGTATGTGGCAGCATGAACTCAAGACTGAGTGGCAAGGAGCGACATTAGGTCACCCCTTAGGTAGGGTGCCCACAGCTGCTACAGCTCAGCCCTAATTACTCAGTCCTGGCTCTCCAGCCCCACCTAGAGGCCAGAGGTGGCCTAGCAGGCTGCCTAGATGTTACAGATCGTTCATTTGAAAAAATCTTTCCCGTCACCTTTCTCGCTTTTCGGCTTTAGCAACATTCTAAGTTTTCCGCTTTTGTCCACCTTTTTGCAGTATTTGTGTGGAATTCTGGGCTTTTCCATTCTGACATTTTAAAAAGTTCACAAAACAAATGGTTGATGGAAAACTCTGAGTGTGTTTGATTACCTCAGAAAATCATCAACCAGCTTCTAAGACTGAACTTTGGAGGTGTGTCTGCAGATTCTTTGAGGAGCTGAAAGTGAGTCTCCTGAAAAGAATGGAAGCTGGAATAAAGGGAGAGAGGATTGTGGGTAATTTTCTGTTAAACGTGTGTTTCTGCTCTTTTCCGACGCTGAAAATAACTCTAATAAGAATTCTGTACGTAATGGCGTATTTGACTGGACGTTAAATAAACGAAGAGTCTCTGACTTTTGCACTGTATATCTGCACGTCTGCACAGACCACCTTCACACACATTGCATCCCACTGTTGAAGACGCACCTCCATGAGTCTGCACTGCACTGTATTCAGGCTGGTGTGCGTATGTATGGCCTTCATGAGTATGCAGTGTTATTCTTGTCAATAATGACATTGGCAGCAAAAGTTTAATGAATGTGTCATAAATGGGCATTTCAGCCGCCTTGTATCCACACTCACTGTCCACTGTATCAGCTCCACTGACCGTATAGTTTCACTCTGTAGTTCTACAGTTACAGACTGTAGTCCATCTGTTTCTCTGCACCTTCTTCTTCAGTGGTCAGGTCCCCCATGGACCCTCAGAGAGCAGGTACTATTTGGGTGGTGGATCATTCTCAGCACTAAGCAGTAACACTGACGTGGTGGTGGTGTGTTAGTGTGTGTTGCGCTGGTCTGAGTGGATCAGACACAGCAGTGCTGCTGGAGTTTTAAACACTGTCCACTCACTGTCCACTCTATTAGACACTCCTACCTTGTCGGTCCACCTTGTAGATGTAAAGTCAGAGACGATAGCTCATCTGCTGCTGCACAGTTTGTGTTGGTCATCCTCTAGTCCTTCATCAGTGGTCACAGGACGCTGCCCACAGGACGCTGTTGGCTGGTTTTGGCTTGCTAGTAGCTAACGGTACCTGCGCTAGCTAATTGGTTTTGATCTCTACAACAACACAAAATAAATTAAAGCTGTTCTCTCTATGAAGCTCTCAGTTTAAGACGATCTGCTTCAACCGTCAGACAGTGATAAAATCTCTCAGTAGGGCTGCTTACAGGCTGCTGTTGGGGTTGTGATGCTAATAAAGGTGGAACTGCGTCTCCGTCTCTTCAGGGTCAAATGCTGAGCGATGCTGCTCGATGTTGAGCTTTGAGAAACTGTCCGGAGTGAAATGTGCAGAGAAACTAACAGCTCTGAGTTAAAGTTGTCGGGATCCTGTTAGAGATGTGGGAGCTGAAGTTCCTGTTCGCCAGCTTGTTTTGGGAATTTTCAGTTCCACCTTAAATGATGATGCAGTTACATTCTGGCTCGAGCATTTAAGGTGGAACGGAACATTGGATTAATAAGCTGAACAGGAAGCCCTTCAGCCTGGTTTAAAGACGATCATCAGCCACTGACGGTTCGGTTCTTGTGCAGGGAATGAAAAGAGCCGACGTTCCTTCACAGCCTGGAGCTGCATTTCTGCACTCAGTCTGACATTTTCATTGCTGCTGCTCTGTTGTCGTTGTTTTGCTGGGCTAGAACGGGGGCTGGGGTGTGTAAATTTTGGGGGTGTGAATATTAACGGGTCATGACCGTTACGTAACAGTTTAGGATGTTGGAATCGGCCTGTTTTACCCTCTTTTACAAACAGATTTGTATTTGAAGGAGGAGACAGCAGCGTTTGAGGTTCAGTTCCATGTACTGAACTCTACTTATTCAACTATTCCAATGTAAATACAGCTTTCCATTCTATGGCACCTTTAACATTTAGCTCCTTATTCTCTCTTTTGGGTTTAATTTCAGTCTCTTGTGTTGGTTCACCTCCTGTTCTGCTTTCCTGCTGACCGCTCCTCTCACTTTACAGCTTAGGGTTTTATTGAACACCAACAGAGTCCAAAAAGAGAAGAACAGCACCGTAGGAACTGAAGTTTGTATGCTGATAGATGCTGGATGGACTAAGAAGCTCCACTGCAGTTCTTTAGGGAATCTCCAGCAGACATTTTGGACACCAGACTGCTTTACTCGGATACTTTTACAGTTTTAGTTTACTTCATCCATCACAGTCAATGACTGAATAAAACTTTTCAAAAACTTCAGCCACTGAATAAAACATGATGAAACACAGGATGGTAGATGTAGAACATGGTGGAACACAGAGGACAGCAGATATTGTGCCTGGTGGAACATACAGGATGGTAGATGTAGAACATGGTGGAACACGAGGGCTGTAGATATTCTACATGGTGGCACACATACAGGAGGGTAGATGTAGACCTTGATGGGGCTACATACAGGATGGTAGATGTGGAACATGGTGGAACACATAACTGGATGGTAGATATAGAACATGGTGGAACACATACAAGATGGTAGATGTGGAACATGGTGGGACACAGAGGATGGTAGATATTCTACATGGTGACACACATACAGGAGGGTAAATGTGGAACATGATGGGACACAGAGGACAGCAGATATTGTACATGGTGGAACATACAGGATGGTAGATATAGAACATGGTGGAACACATACAAGATGGTAGATGTGGAACATGGTGGAACACATACAGTATGGAAGATGTGGAACATGATGGGTATAAAGGTTCAGTTTGAGTTTAAGGCAGGATTCCAGCTTCCAGAAGCAGGTCAGGTGTTCATGGTGCTTCACCACAATATGGTGCAATTCTTCATCTCTTTTGTGTGTTTTTTGGGCGGTACCTGTGCTGCTGTCCAGGGTGGCACGTGTGCTGCTGTCCAGGGTGGCACGTGTGCTGCTGTCCAGGGTGGCATGTGTGCTGCTGTCCAGGGCGATACGTGTGCTGCTGTCCAGGGCGGTACGTGTGCTGCTGTTCAAGGCGGTACGTGTGCTGCTGTTCAAGGCGGTATGTGTGCTGCTGTCCAGGGCGGTCACGTGTGCTGCTGTCCAGGGTGGTATGTGTGTGGGTGTGGTTTCTTTACTCAGGTGTGTGAAGTAGGTGTGTTTTTTGTACTCAGGTGTGTAATGTGGGTGTGGTTTCTGTTTCCAGGTGCTCAGCGAACTGGACCGGCACACAATGTGAGAGACCCGCCCCCAAGAACAACCGGAACGACAACGTCAGCGAGAGTGAGCCTGACCTTCCTATTCTTTGTGTATCCATCTCCTTATGGGGTCTTACACTGATTCCAGAAACAGAACAAAATGAAACTAAACTAAACCTCTTAAGATTGGAGCTTTGTTTTTTGACAAAAGCCAAATTTCTGCAAAATAAATGCAAGTAAATTATATGACCAGCAAAAACGAAACTTTTCCCCCATATTGTAACATTTTGTTATTATAAGTATAGCGATGAAAGTATACACACACAACGCTGTTTTTCCACACAACTCATTTTTTTGATTCTGTGCAGCTTATTGATGTTATTGGCTGGCCGCTGGCATTTCACAGTAGGCTAATGACCTTAGGCTTGTAGGGAATGAAAATGACGAGACTTCATAACTAGGCTTCGACTCTATGAGAGATCATCTTGAGTCATTACACGAGTCACTGGCTGATATTTATCCCCATATTGCTGTTTTTTACAACTGGCTGTTCCACTCTGTTCTTTCGGCCTGGTCTTATCAAATAATAAACAGAATAAACAGGCATTAAGTCTATGATTGTAGGAGCTCCATGTGTCGTTTGGGGAGTTTTCCCAACCCCTGTGGCTTTAATAGAACACCACAATGCTGCTTTCCTGTGCTGTAATTCCAGCTCAATGGCATTTTGGATGTACCTTTTTGCCTTCAGTAATCATTCTCAGACACTCCTCTCAGCGGGCTCAGTCCTTATTGCGCTTTAATGTCCGTTTCTCCATGGAGCCCATACTGGCCCATCCCGCTGTTTGATTTGCTGACATTTCAGTGCGGATTTCTGCCTGGCATTTGAGCACCGTTAGAGGAGGCAGAGGGCTGGAGGTTTCTCCGGAGAGACAGCAATGACCGGACTTAATGCGGCTGCAGGACTGAGGAATGATATTTTCAAGTAGAATGGAGTATGAGAAAGAGAACTTGTTTTGCTATGGTGAGCCTACAGCAGTCTACGGGTCTGGCTGAGGTCAGAGGAAAGGCTGGACAGTTGGACAGCATACAGCAAGCATTCATGACCAAATAATGTCTTAGCATTATAGAGACTTTATGTGGTTTATCATTTTTTTAGCCATAACATTTTTTAGTTTCATAACATGAAATTTCCACTGTGGATTGAGAACCAACTGAGAGACTTTGCATCGCTGCGGCAGAGTTTGACTAGGCCTTGAGCTGGGACACTACTCACCTCAGTAGTGGAGTTTGACTAGGCCATGAGCTGGGACACTACTCACCTCAGCAGTGGAGTTTGACTAGGCCGTGAGCTGGGACACTACTCACCTCAGTAGTGGAGTTTGACTAGGCCGTGAGCTGGGACACTACTCACCACAGTAGTGGAGTTTGACTAGGCCGTGAGCTGGGACACTACTCACCACATTAGTGGAGTTTGACTAGGCCGTGAGCTGGGACACTACTCACCACAGTAGTGGAGTTTGACTAGGCCGTGAGCTGGGACACTACTCACCACAGTAGTGGAGTTTGACTAGGCCATGAGCTGGGACCCTTTTCACCACAGTAGTGAAATTTGACTGGTTGTGAGCTGGGACACTACTCTCCCAGGTAGTGGAGTTCGACCAGGCCATGAGCTAGGACACTACTCACCTCAGCATTGAAGTTTGACTGGGCCGTGAGCTGGGACACTATTTACTACTGTAGCAGAGTTTGACTAGGCCGCAAACCAGGATGCTTCTCATCAGTTTCGTGGAGTTTTGCTAGGACATGAACCAGGATGCTTCTCACCACTTCAGCTAAGTTTGACCAGGTTGCGAGCTGGGACACTTTGTACCACTTTAGCGGAGTTTGACAAGGCCATGAGCCAGGACACTTCTCACCGTGGTAGTGGAGTTTGACTAGGCCGCAAACCGGGACATTTCTGACCACTTTATTGGAGTTTGACTAGTTGTGTTCTACAGTTTCTCATTAGGCTGAATGAATAACCGACTCTAAATGTAGGTATTGTGATATAAACTGAGTCTGTTCTACAGTTTCTCATTAGGCTGAATGAATAACCGGCTCTAAATGTAGGTATTGTGATATAAACTGAGTCTGTTCTACAGTTTCTCATTAGGCTGAATGAATAACCGACTCTAAATGTAGGTATTGTGATATAAACTGAGTCTGTTCTACAGTTTCTCATTAGGCTGAATGAATAACCGACTCTAAATGTAGGTATTGTGATATAAACCGAGTCTGTTCTACAGTTTCTCATTAGGCTGAATTGGATTTTTGCAAACTTTTTGGAATGAAGAGCATGAATAGGTCAGCATGCTTACAAAAACAACAACTAACCTCCATGTGATTCCCCGAGGCCCAGTCCTTCTGATCCACTGACCTGCGCAGGTGCTTGTTTTCCCTCCAATAATACTCCCTGTTCACCAGATGAAGGGTTTGGTAATGACATGCAGAGCTGAAGCCGAAGTGTCAGAACCAGAAAGAGCTAATTCGCGCAGGTCAGGAGGTTCATCAGAAACAATGCCGCCCTAACCCACTTCCTCTTTCACACGCTTTTTGATGTCCCTGGGACTAAATCGTGCTAATAAAACATGATTTCACAGCGCGGCCCCGGTGTGTCTCCTCCCTGTCTCCGCAGCGTAGCGGCTTTGAAGAAAATCAGGGCTCCTCCGCGGCCCACGCTGATCAAACAGAGATCTAACACAGACGGAAGGCGTTCTAGATACGGCAATAACAGGAGTGTCATAGCCTCGGAGTTGAACCTTCCTCTACATATACACGTCTGCTGCTATTACTGTTGTTTTACTGTATAATGAATGTAATTACATAATTAATTACATATCGATTTACACACGAATTATATTTACGTTTCTTTATTTTCAAATGCCAAAAATGTAAAAAAGTGGTTCAAATCAAACTCAGATCACAATATCTCCTCTTCTGCTTACTAACACAAATGTGGAACATGTAGAATCTTTCTGGTGTCGCTGATGATAACTGACTTTCTCTCATGTGTGTCTCAGGGAGCATCGCCATCATCGTCCCTCTGGTGCTGCTGGTGATCATCGTGGGCACCGTGACGGTGGGCGTGCTGGTCTGCAAACGACGACAAAGGTGACAGAAGAATCGCAGAAGCTAGTACTGAAAGCCTGCTGGACAAAAATAGCCACATAAATGTTACAGTGCTTGTTTACATTCAGTGGCCACGTTAAGCTCAGTTTTGGTGACCGTGCCACAGGATGCGCCGACACACACACCAACCATGTGCTTCCACTAACTGGCCAGTTTATTAGAAACACCTACTTTGTGTTTCCGCTAACTGGCCACTTTATTAGAAACACCCACGTTATATCTCCTCTATGTAGGTGTTCAGTTACAGACTGTATTCCACCTGTTGCAGTTTATCAGCCTCTTCTCCATTCATCATTGGTCAGTTTCTGCCCACAGGGCCGCTGTTGTTCAGATTATTTGGGTGGTGGTCCATTCTCAGCACAGCAGTGACACTGACATGGTAGTGTATCGGACACAGCGGTGTTGCTGGAGTGTTTACACATGTCAGGGTCACTGTTAGGTTGAGAGTGGACTGTTCACCACTCTCAAACCTAACTTGAGAGTGGTGAGCAGACTGACCATTGATGAAGGTCTAGAGGATGACCACATCAACAGATGGGATACAGTCTCTAATTGTACACCAGCAAAGCAGAGCTACAAGAGAGGGGTTTCTGATAAAGTGGCCAGTTAATATACATCAGATTTGACATTTATATACAGAATGGAGAATATAGAATCATATATACAGTAGAATATAGAGGATTTAATAGTGTGTGATTTATGAAATACTGTTATTAAAGCATCCTGCTGTTGTGTCTCTCAGGGGGAAACGTGTGCAGAGGCAGCCTATGGCTAACGGGGGTCTCAATGTGGAGATCGGAAACCCCTCCTACAACATGTACGAGGTGGAGCACGACAATCATGTGGACGTGGGGAGCTTCCTGCACCCCAGCTTCACTCTGGACCCTCATAAGGTCAGAAAAAAGCAGGAGGACGATGATGCAGGACCAGCATTTGTTTGTCCGTACAGGGACTTTATAACACTTGCATCAACATTGAACAACTTATTTAGGAGAAATACTTTAATGTTTATGAACATTTCATATTAGTACAATAATTAATTTTGACACACAGTCTTGTGCAAATATTTTGGCCCCCCTGGACAAATTCATTTGTTTCATTGCGAATAAATTAACACATTTTTAGAGCAGCAGCCTCAAAATCTTTAAATCCAGCCCACTCATCTTTTTCTCTTCACCCTCCACTGACTGAGTCTGGTTCTCCATCATAAGCTCTATAAGATCAGCTCAGACTGATGATTATGATGGAATCATACGATGACTGTAGTTTAGCTACAGAGAACTCGGCTATTATTCTAATTTAGAGTGATAGTTAGTTAAACCTGCCCTCATGGATCCATTCAGGACACACAGTGAGAGACACAGCGCAGCACAATTAAGAAATTAATGGAGTTATTAAGATCATCCACTCAGAACGCAGATTCAACTGCTATACAGTAACTTCACTGACGTTCAGCAGAAACACTGGAGCTGTCATAATAAGAGTCTCATATAATTCAACTGCTAAATGTACGTTTCATAATTCTAACCACAGCAATTGTTAATCATTGTTACTAATCATAATAATAATCAATTAGTAGTAGTTAATAATTATTAATAGTAGCAGTAGTAGTAAGAGCAGTTGTAGTTTGTGATGACAGAAGAATTTACTGAAATGCACTTAAACGAGTGTGTATATGTTATTTAATTCAACTTCATACATGAACAGAGATTTACTAGCTCCCTTTGGAGAAGTCCATCTTGGTAGTGACTCCCAGGTAATTTGAGTTTGAGACCCCTGCTCTACGGGGAACACAGTTAATTATGGCATTTTTCTGCAAATTTTAGTGCACATTTCTGTTTAATTGGGATAGTGGAAAAAAAAAAACTCTTCTTTTTTCATTTTATGTTTCATTTTTGTCTAAATATCTTAAATTCAGTCAAAAAAAACCCAGCAATTTAGCAAAGGTTTGTTGTCTGTAGAGAATGTTATCTTATTTCATCTTATAAAATCAGCCAAATTAATTTTGACCAGGGACACACAATCTTGCACATGCTGCATTTTGTTTTTTTTTAATATTTTAAACCTATCAAAAAAATCAGCAGTTGAGCACTAAAACATGCAAAAGTTTGTACTGTGTAGAGAATGTGTTAACTTATTTTGACAAAAAAAACCAAAAAAAATCAACAAAATTAATTTATTTCGATTAGGGTGGACAAACTTTTGCACATGCCACATTTTATGACCAAATTTGACCAAAGAAAATTTAATAAATCAGCAACTGAGCACTAAGACATGCAAAAGTTTGTTCCCTGTGAAGGATGTGTGAACTGGTTTTCAATTTAAAAAAATAAACAAAATGAATTAATTTTGACCAAGGTGCACAAACTTTTGCACACACCACATTTTATGCCCCGCCCCCCCGTCCCCTCAATATGTTACATTCAGCAAATCCCTGCTGTCTGAAGAAAACCTGATATCTCTATTTTTGTCATTTTTCAGTTTATGACATATTTTGAAAATGCGTGTTGGTATTTATGTTGTGTGTAAATTTCATGAAGAATGGACCACAAAAAAAAGCCCCAAATGACTTGGAAAAAATTCTGGTTCCATTGACTTACATTAAAAGTAAAGTTTGTTTTTTCCTTCTCCTGTAAAGATTTTGACGTGAGGTTTTGTTCTGACAACAGCGAAATAAACAGTAATTGGGCACCAAAAAGTGCAAAAGTATGTTCCCTTTAGAGAATATCTAGAAAACCTACCTTCACTTAGAAAATCGACAAATAATTACTTTCACCATGGGTGCACAAACTTTTGCCTAAGATTGTTCGAGGCTATTCGTCCTCTCATGCTCATGCGTGTGTCATGGCGCCCCCTGCAGGCGGCTGTCAGATGGTCCTGGTCATCCAGGAAGCGTGTGGAGTTCTGCTACGATGTAAACGTCTGATCTGTCTTCGTTGGAGCTGCAGCTCAGCGCGACTGTACGTCAGATCAGACTTTGAGTTCCGCAGCGTTTTCACTGCGTAGACGTGAACGCTGTCCTACTGATGAGCACACATGCCTTTAAGCTCTAATTGACACTCGCTGCACATTGTTATTCATCTCTGAGCGCGGCTGCTCGAAAGTAAACGCGCTCTGCACTCTCTTCAATTTACCTTAAACTCCCGCGGGTGCGTTTAGTCTTCATATCACACAGAGCGGAGCACTTTCTTCCCGAACAGAGAGCGTGTAGACCGGATTATATATCGAAATAAGAGTTTGTTTCAGTTCCGAGTCTCCGGGGCTCTGCGCTGCATTCCTAATCAGTCTGTATCTGCTGATCAGTAAGTTGCTGCCACACCACTGAAATAACGAGCACTGATACACAGATGAGCCGAAACGTTATGACCACTCACAGACGAGGTGAAGATCTGGGATATGTTAGACATACACTCTGAAAAAGATGGTTCTTCAAGGGTTCTTTGGTAAAGACACTGGTTCTATATGGAACCTTGAACAGTCAAAGAACCATTCGAATGCTGAAATGGTTCTTCAGATTGATGGAGGATGTGTTGTATATTGTTCTTTATAAGAACTGCACCACGTCACAAAACCCTCCTACTGTTAATGAATAATCTTTGACTCTAATGCTGCTCACATGGAGCACCGAGTGAACTGATGAAGAAAGAACCCGGTTCTGTTTAAACTGAGAGGCTGACAGCTTATTTTCTTATCTAGAACCAGGCTGGTCAGCTAGCTAACAGGCTAAAAGATAAACAGTCTAAACTGCTCCATCATTAATATCACAGGCTTGAATTAAAGCACTTACAGTGTGATTTACTGTAAAACTGCAGTATAAAAGACTAAAAATGTCACCTGAATGTTTTACACACTTCAAATGTTCGTGTTTCAAAAGTCACGTCAAACCCAGACTGAATCCCAAACGGCTCTGTACTCCCTAAATAGTGTTCTAGCTATGGAAGTTCAGAAGTTCTAGCCTCTACAGCCAAACAGTGCATCATGTATCGAGTGTGGATGAGTCTGAGTCCCAAACGACTGTTTCTTAGCTGTGTTTTGCTCTGTTGGGCTGCAGCATCCAGTATTTAAACTCCTACGTAGTGCACTATGTAGGGAGCAGGGCGCCGTTTGAGATTCAGCCCCAGTGTGAGAAGAGGGGCCGCTGGATTGGTGCTAAATAAGACTCGCGGTGGTGATTTGGTGACCAAAAAGTACTTATAAAGTGAAGGTTTCTAGATTAAACAGTGCTGTGTATCATATGTTCATTGATAAACGGCAAAAAGTTGAAAAGTTCATGAAATGACTGCAGCAACCAAACGTTCTTCTCCTCATTCAATGGTTGCTTGGCAACAATATTATACTCTAAAGGAACTATATTTCTTGGCAGAATACTTGTTTATGTTGATTATTGTTAATAATAACTTGAAAAATTGTGTATTTCATCATGGCTGACGTTTTATAAAAGCAATAAGCCACTCAAGGCCGTACGTTACAGTGGTTTTATCACAGGGAAGAGGGTTTTACTCACCTTCGCGTCTTGTCTAAGAACCCCCCACCCTGTGATAAAATCACTGTAATGCACAACGTCTCATAGCTTATTGCTTTAATATAGCACCAAAAAGAGTTCTTATATTGTTATGATGTCAAGCTTGAATCATTTTTTGCTCCTATAAAGAACCATTTTTTTAAGCATGCAGATGGTTCTTTGAGTGTTTATAGTGCTAAATAGACCCATTTTCTGTACTAAGGAACCTTTAAAGAACCATCTATTTCAAGAGTGGACAGTCGGTTCTCGTAGTTTTGCAGATGTGAAGACGTGATCAGCTTTGACAAGGTCGAACTTGTTATGTCCAGACGATTAGATCAGATCATCTCAGAAACAGCAAGGCTTATGGGGCACTCCTGGTCAGCAGTGAGTACCTACTGACAATGGACCAAAGAGGGACAAACCACGAGCCAGCGACAAGGTGTTGGGCACCCAAAGCTCGTTGATGCACCTTCCGGTCTGGTCTGAACAGCTACTGTGGCACAAGTCACAGAAATCTTTAATGACGGTGTGCCATGTGTTTGTCGGCTCTCGCGGTCATCATTCGGGCCTGAGCCCCAAGCGAGGACGAAGCCCCTCGAGGATGGCAGGGAGAGGAGAACCGCAAGGAAGTGGGGGATGGTGCGCGAGTCCCAAGCCCGCCTCCTGGGCATCGCCTCCAGTCCCAGGGTGAGGTCACTTTAAACTTGCCTCATGTTCAATCCTGGTGGACGAGCCTGAGAGCAGGGGTGGCGATTGAGGCAGAGCAATTGCTCTTGTTCCCTCTTTGGCTCGGGTGCCCTTACTGAGAGCCAGCTGACACTGATCTGGCCATGCCAGCATGGACACCTTTGACACCTTTGGGATGAGCAGCAGCAGCAAAAGAAAAGACTGAAGAGCTGAAAAGCTTAGTTTGGAGAAAAGAACTGAAAAGTCTCGTTTTGAAGCTACTAAAAGTGATCAGCTTTGGTTTGGTGTCATTGTTATGTTTGTTTGGAGTGATAATAAAGTTTAAGTGGCTGCTGCAACGGTCAACCCTGCCTCCAGCGCCCTTCCTGAGCCTGGGGCAGCACAGGCTGTGCAGATGGTTACAGAAGGAATGTGTCAGTGCATCACACCCTGCTGTCTATGGAGCTGAGTATTCGCAGCCCAGTCAGATTGCCATGCTGACCCCTGTCCACAATGGAAAGTGCCTACAATGGGCACGCAAGCGTCAGGACTGGATCTTCGATTGCAGGAAGAAAGTCTCCTGGTCCGATGCATCCGGTTTTCTTTAGATCACGTAGAGTCAGTCAGGTACATGTGGAACGAGAGAAGTGATGGCACCAGGATGAACTATGGCAAGAAGATAAGCCGCTGGAGGGAGTGTGATGCTCTGGGCGACGTTCTGCCGAGAAACCCTGGGACCCATGTGGATGTCTGCTTAAACATGTGCCACCTACCTCGCTGCCGACCAGGTACACACCATGGTGTCAATGTTCCCTGATGGCAGTGGCCTCTTTCAGCAGGATAATGACCTGCCACACTGCACAGGTTGTACAGGAATGGTTTGAGGAACATGATGAAGAGCTCAAGATGTTGTCCTGGTCTCCAAACCCCCCAGATCTCCATCCGGTCCAGCATCCGTGGGATGTGCTGGAACAAGAAGTCTGTTCCACAGCAGTTCCACCTTCTGCAGCAGCACTTACAGGACTTAAAGGATCTGCTGCTAACTTGGTGAAGACACCCCAGGGCACCTTCAGAGGTCTTGTAGTGTCCGTGCCTTGACGGGTCAGAGCTGTTGTGGTGGCTCTAGAGTTTTCAACTTAATCTGTCTGCTGTTTGTAGTGTACAGTCGATTAGCAGGCACAATCCCAGTCCACTATAATTACAGTTTAGCTCATTTGAAGAGTAAAATCATTAAAATAATCCAAAAATGTGATCATTTTTGCATTAACGTGTGAATCCATTTAACATCTCATGCTTAACATAATTTTTTTTCCTGAGTCGTCTGTTATGAGTTATGGGAAAATGTACATTTTAGTTGCTCAACATTCACAGTTACCTGAACACATTCACACCTCTGAAATATCTGAAATATTCAACATAAGTTACATTTTCAACAAAAAAAATCTCCAGAAAAGAGAAAAGTAAATTTTCCATTTTTTTTCTTCATTTATAATTCTTCATTTTATTGGTAAAAAAAAACAAAACAAGCAAAAAAAAACAGTACTACTAGAACTAGTTTAGAATGTGTATTAGTTCGTCAGCAGTGCAGAAATGTGGGCGGGGCTTCCTCTAAAACAGTAGGAAAGGGAAGTATGTAATAATTTATTAGTAGTGTAGAAATGTGGGCGGGGCTTCTTCTTAAACAGTAGGAAAGGGAAGTATGTAATAATTTATTAGTAGTGTAGAAATGTGGGCGGAGCTTCCTCTAAAACAGTAGGAAAGGGAAAGTGTGTAATAATTCTTTAGTGGTGTAGAAATGTGGGCGGAGCTTCCTCTAAAACAGAAGGAAAGGGAAAGTGTGTAATAATTCTTTAGTGGTGTAGAAATGTGGGCGGAGCTTCCTCTAAAACAGAAGGAAAGGGAAAGTGTGTAATAATTCTTTAGTGGTGTAGAAATGTGGGCGGAGCTTCCTCTAAAACAGTAGGAAAGGGAAAGTGTGTAATAATTCAGTAGCGGTGTAGAAATGTGGGCGGAGCTTCCTCTAAAACAGTAGGAAAAGGAAAGTGTGTAATAATTCCTTAGCGGTGTAGAAATGTGGGCGGAGCTTCCTCTAAAACAGTAGGAAAAGGAAAGTGTGTAATAATTCATTAGCGGTGTAGAAATGTGGGCGGAGCTTCCTCTAAAACAGTAGGAAAAGGAAAGTGTGTAATAATTCATTAGCGGTGTAGAAATGTGGGCGGAGCTTCCTCTAAAACAGTAGGAAAGGGAAAGTGTGTAATAATTCAGTAGCGGTGTAGAAATGTGGGCGGAGCTTCCTCTAAAACAGTAGGAAAAGGAAAGTGTGTAATAATTCATTAGCTGTGTAGAAATTTGGGCGGAGCTTCCTCTAAAACAGTAGGAAAGGGAAAGTGTGTAATAATTCATTAGCGGTGTAGAAATGTGGGCGGAGCTTCCTCTAAAACAGTAGGAAAAGGAAAGTGTGTAATAATTCATTAGCGGTGTAGAAATGTGGGCGGAGCTTCCTCTAAAACAGTAGGAAAGGGAAAGTGTGTAATAATTCAGTAGCGGTGTAGAAATGTGGGCGGAGCTTCCTCTAAAACAGTAGGAAAAGGAAAGTGTGTAATAATTCATTAGCTGTGTAGAAATTTGGGCGGAGCTTCCTCTAAAACAGTAGGAAAGGGAAAGTAAAAGTAACTGGAACTACTTTTCGACTGTGTTGCTTCAAAGATAAATAAAACCCCGTAAGAACAGTTTTAGTAAGACTTTCTCATCCTCTTCATCGTCTTCATCCTAACACCTGTGCTGTTATAGTGGAACAGCCAGAGTTTATAACTTGTTATAAATTCACATATTTCAGTCATTTATTCACACAATTTATTCACTCAGTTATAACGGAGTTTCTGGTCATCAGGTTTTCCGTCCTGCAGGAAAAGGAGATAAAAGTGTTCCTTGACTGTTTTGCTGGATCGGTTTCAAAGTTTTCATTTTCTTTGATTTGCACTGAAGAGCACGACTGGAATGAGCAGATCTTCACTTTGCACAGTATGAATGTTGTTTGTCTCTCTCTCTCTCTCTCTCTCTCTCTCTCTCTCTCTCTCTATCTCTCTCTCTGAATAAAGGGCTGGTGTGTGAGGTCGAGTGACCCTCGAAATCTGCCCCCCCACACCCTGCACCCTTCACACACTCTACCTGTTCACTCTGTCCCCACGGAGCTCATCCCAGGACAGGTGAGCTCTTTCTCTCTCCCTCTGCTCGCTCACCCACTGCATGCGCTTTCTTCCTGCACTCTTTTATCCTGTTCTCTGCATGAAGCTCACTCAGAACTGTGGGGCATTTATGAGGGTCTGATTTAGTGCAAGGATGCAGCGTAGAATATTAACTAGGACAGAATAGAAAACATTAGTCCATAAACAACCTCCATAAACACTCCTATACACTAGAATAGGAGATATCAGTCCATAAACAACCTCCATAAACACTCCTATACACTAGAATAGGAGATATCAGTCCATAAACAACCTCCATAAACACTCCTATACACTAGAATAGGAGATATCAGTCCATAAACAACCTCCATAAACACTCCTATACACTAGAATAGGAGATATTAGCCCATAAACAACCTCCATAAACACTCCTATACACTAGAATAGGAGATATTAGTCCATAAACAACCTCCATAAACACTCCTATACACTAGAATAGGAGATATTAGTCCATAAACAACCTCCATAAACACTCCTATACACTAGAATAGGAGATATTAGTCCATAAACAACCTCCATAAACACTCCCATACACTAGAATAGGAGATATCAGTCCATAAACAACCTCCATAAACACTCCTATACACTAGAATAGGAGATATTAGTCCATAAACAACCTCCATAAACACTCCTATACACTAGAATAGGAGATATTAGTCCATAAACAACCTCCATAAACACTCCCATACACTAGAATAGGAGATATTAGTCCATAAACAACATCAATAAATGCTCCTATACACTAGAATAGGAGATATCAGTCCATAAACAACCTCCCTAAACACTCCTATACACTAGAATAGGAGATATCAGTCCATAAATAACCTCCCTAAACACTCCTATACACTAAAATAGGAGATATCAGTCCATAAACAACCTCCCTAAACACTCCTGTACACTAGAATAGGAGATATTAGTCCATAAACAACCTCGATAAACACTCCTATACACTAGAATAGGAGATATCAGTCCATAAACAGCCTCAATAAACACTCCTATACACTAGAATAGGAGATATCAGTCCATAAACAACCTCCATAAACACTCCTATACACTAGAATATGAGATATTAGTCCATAAACAACATCAATAAATGCTCCTATACACTAGAATAGGAGATATTAGTCCATAAACAACCTCCATAAACACACTTATACACTAGGAGATATTAGTCCATAAACAGCCTCAATAAACATTCCTATACACTAGAATAGGAGATATCAGTCCATAAACAACCTCCATAAACACTCCTATACACTAGAATAGGAGATATTAGTCCATTAACAACCTCAATAAACACTCCTATAAACCAGAATAGGAAATATTAGTCCACAAAGACCCTCAGTAAACACTCCTATATACTAGAATATGAGATATTAGTCGTCAATCAACCTCAATAAACCCTCGTATACACTAGAATAGGAGATATTAGTGTATAAATAACTTTAATAAATGTTCTTTTATGTTAGAATATGACACATTAGTCTATAATATATGCTTAAATGTGGGATAGTTTTGAGGCAAAAATATAGACAAATGTATCTGTAATACAAATACATTAATATTAGTGTGTTTTGAGGATCAGGATCAGTTAAAGTATTCTTTAAGTAAAACACGCTACAGTGTAACACCTCACACTCCTGCTTACTCCAGTGGGAGCTGAATAAAAGTGACTGTGTTTATTTTCCAGGCCATGAACTACTCCAACCCCATCTATGCGAAGATGTACACGGACGGTCAGCAGTGTCGGAAACCCGTCCTCCGACTGAACGACAGGAGAGACCTGCTCCCAAAGAGACTGGAGACGGCCATCCGCGAAACAGCCGCTTAACCTAGCTTTTACACAAAGTTAGCTTATTTTTTTCTAAAGAGCTGTACAGAGTGTACAAAAGACACTTTTTATATGTCTGATCCGGTCCGGGCGACTGATGTTCTCGGTTTCGTTTATCTGTTGTCACGTCTGCATCGCCACACGGAGAAGTTTGGACTCACGGTTTCCTGAAACGCCTCTGTTGTTTCCTTTTGACGTGAATGCACTCTACAGTACTACAGTAAGCTGCTCAGCCTGACCGGACTTTACGTCCCTGTGAAGACTGTTTAAAGACTTTATGTAGGTTTTATTTAATGTTACATCCATGACCGCCCAGGGTGGCGTCATCACCACGGCATAGATATCGTATTCCCAAGTTGCCTCTACCTTTTCCTAGTACTACAGATAAGAGACACATATTTAACAGATAATATTCACATAGCACAGATTTTATTTTTGATATCACTGCAGATGTGATAGCTATGCTACTATTAGTTATCAGACGTATATGAATACTCTTTATACTGTAGCTTTTCAATAAGGCCAAACCAAAAGAGAGTCCACTTGTAGTCGTTAGGTCTTTTGTTTTTAACGAACGGAACCTGCAAACGTTTTATTTAATTGCATTAAAATGTCTATACGCAGCCGAATCTTCAGCGATGTACACGTTTAACTCACGTTCACTGATATTTGATGACTGAGTGTAAAATGTTCTCATCTCTACCTTAACAAATGTAAACACTCGGAACTGGAAAAAAAAGCCGTTTTATAATTTTATATTTGATTTATATGTCCGGTTGGTAACGTATCAATGTTGTACTTTTATACAGTTGTACAGTACGTTGGGTTCACTGGTCCCAGTTCAACCCAGGTAGCAATACAAGTGTTTAAATGATGAATGCTAAAGTAAGGAAGCATAAAACTGATATATTTTATGGAAACTATATGTGAAACTCATTATGTAACTAATAATGTTGTCACTGTCAGATCAAAACCTTGAAAAAAGTCATTTCACAGGAGAAGGAAAAAATGTTCTTTGTGTAAGTTAAAACAACACTATGTAAGATTTGGGGATTTGGAGACCTCTCTGGTGGAAATGTGTAACTGCACACAACAAGCAGAACATTTTGTAATGTCGCTTGTGCTTTGGACCCCCACAAGTGGATGAATCTGCCTTTTGCGAGTGAGTTGAAAGAGAATTCGAAGAGAACTGAGTAAAAACTTGGTGAAGGATGTGAGTAAATTATCCAGTGGCGGCTCCTGCCAAATCTCGCAACGATGGCAGGTGCCATTTAGCATAAACACAGATTTCTCTTTAAGCTACACACTGTACAGTATTTTTAGACAGTTATATTCAAGAGTTCACTGCAAATGATTCTTGAATAAAATTATTTTGGTGCTACAATGACTGAACAATGAACTGTAGTCATCAATAGATAAACAATCACCTATCAGTTCACCCTCACAAACACCTTTGAACATGGAGAGAGACCAGCTTTACCATTAATCAAATAAAATTAAGTCTTCACTCTCACAATAATTTGACATTTTATTTCCGGTGCAGCAGATCTAGAACATTTTTTGTAGCTAACTGATTAAACAAAGATATAAACGTAGGACAGGCTAGTAGTGCTTACTACAGTTGCAGTGCACATCGCATAGTAACCACTAGGTGGCACTAGATTGCTAGATGCCAGGGCAGATTCAACCTCAAAATGTTGTGCAACGTTTTTCTTCGGTTTCTGGGTTGATCGACTAAGGCAGTCAACTATGAATGCGGCCAATGCAGCTTGGTGTTTGCAGTAGTTGAAGACTTTAGGAGGCGTATTTTGAAGTATTAAACACGTATTTAAACCAGGATCCGAAAAGTCGGCTGCCATAGTTGCAAAGCTTGCGTAACACAACAGAATCGCCACCGTTTTTATTTGAATAAACTAGCTACCCCAGTTATCCCTACACCAGGGGCACCTTCGATCTCAGAACATTGTGGAACGTTTTGCTTCGGTTCCCGGGTTGATTGACGAATGCAGTCCTCTGCAAATGCACTTGGTGTTTGCAGCAGTTAAAAACATATTTTAAAGTATTAAACATGTATTCAAACCTGTTTCATCAGGATCCGAAAATTCAAAAAGAACGCCAAGACAGGCCGTCTCAGCTGCCATAGTTGCAATGCTTGCGTAACACAACAGAATCACCACTGTTTCTGTTTAAATAAATGTTTTGTTGCATTTTGTTGACGTTGAACGCAGCCCTGGTTGTGTATAACACAAGAATTAGTGCTGGTCCTCCCGGGAACCATACAGCTCGCATTGCAGTGCCTACAGTTCGGAAAAACGTATTAATATGAGAGTCTATCAGAGCAATCTGGGGTATTTTTATAACCAGACCGGAATCACCCAGATGGTACTGTACGGAACACAACTAGACGCTGATTGATGGTATTCAGGGGCAGGACAAACTGTCTAGAACAGCCCAGCTAGTGCCACAGCTCCCTCTTTGGTGGGGCGTCGCCCAATCACCCCTAGGAACAAACTGCCCCTGGAATTGTCTACGATTATCATCATATCTTCATCAGTATGATGTTGATTTTGGGATCATTAGAGGCCGAAACATCGAGCCAGACCTTCTTTTTGAGTCTGTGTGTGACGTTCATACGTAAAGACGTACGACGTGGTGTGAAAAACTCGCCGCCTCTGACAAAAAATACTACATAGTGCTGCTTTAATATAACAATATTTTATTTGAAGTTATTTGGGACTTTCTTTGGTTTGATTGTCATGATGTTTTGACAGTGGTAGTCAGTGTTTTCCAATTATGTAAAAACATAAAAACACAATTCAACGTTTTGTTCTGACAGTGATTATATACATATATAACCAGCTGTGTATTACATAAATTGTGTAATTGTCCTGTTTATGCTTTTGCATTTGTCTTTTATCTACACACGTATTGCATTAACCTGATATGACTTTGGACCAGTGACTCTAGATATAAAATAAACCAAATTTCCTGACCACTATGAGTGTGTGGAATACATTTCTTTCCCATTGTGTTATTCCAGAACTGAATTCCGGAATTCAAGACTGAACTTCTGTGATTCCTGCTGACGTTGTAGTTTATTCTTCCTGAAGTCTCATTTCTTAGATTTAGTAAAATTCCCAGAAATGATAACATGAGTAGAAACACTACCAGAGCGACGTTCAGTGTAAACAGTGTATTTTTGTAGGATGTTTGAAGGTCTTGCTTAAAAAGAACTGTTCACAGCGGTGGTGATAGGAACCAGACGTCCACCTCTAAAAGCTCCCTCACAGAAAGTTCCTACATGAAATGGTTATGAATTCACTGCCTGATGACTGAGACACTGTTTTATGATCGTTTAGAGAACTTAAACTCCATTCATGGTGGAGGGATACATGCAGGGCGCTGTGAGGCAAAATAGTCCCCAAAGAAACTTATTATTTCAGATTTTCCACTATTTTCCATCATCAACATTCCATATAAACAGTCTAACTAAACTACTCTGAAATGACTAACAAGTTCTAGATATTAATTATCTGTGACGTTCTGTGTAATTACTGTGTAATAATGCTGGGTAAAATAATAGTACGTACCCAGACAGTCTTTATAAACTATACTGAAAAGACTAACAGGTTCTACCACTTTGTCTTTTCTGATAAATATACTGATATTGAAATCTTGAGGACATTCACATAGTGTTGTATCAGATCGGAACCATATCTGATTATTTCTTTATGTTTTCAGCTCAGCAGCCTTTTATCATTCATTCATTCCAAGAGCAATGAAGTGGCTAATCCACATGGTGTGGACTGCACACCATGTAGCCCTGTTCTTGCTTTTCCTGGAAGTCACAATAATATTGTTGAGCCTTTTTAGAAAAGGAACCCCAGTTTTTAAGCTCACTCTTCACTTTAGGGTCACAGGCCTTCTTTCATCTGCATGGTGACCGTTTTTTGCTGGGACTGTCGCCAAGTTACGGAGGGAACAACATCAGAGAAGTGTAACTTGTTTTTCCTGTAGTAGTTCAGCAAGTTGGCCTGTTTTTCTTTCTGTTTCCATGCATCAGACTTATTAAGACATTTGCTATGGTCTGTTTATTCTTATATTCTGTGGATACACCCAAACATATGTACATACAAAACATGTTTTTGGAAGAGTTTGCTAAGTAGTGTTGTCATTATTCGTTATATATTCTTTTATACAATAAGCACTGTAATGATTATGCAGCTAAAAAGTGATTCATGATGCTTTGCTTGTTTTAAGAATCTCTGCTTCTTCATTCCCGAGGTTTGCCTGAAATTACCTTGCGGGTTTTTGCACGGGCCTGGACTGAGTGGTTTGGTGTGAAATAGGTAAGAAAACTGTAAAAATAAATGGTAAACAAAGGCTGCGTTTACACAGCAGGTAAAAGTGGCCCGAATCTGATTTTCTCACCAAATCAGAATTTTTTGTTTGGCTGTTCAGATTATCTTTTAAATGTGATCTGTATGCGACATCAGTCTGAACAGATCAGCTCCTAAACTGACCAGCATGCGCAAAAGAACAGAGCTTCACGTTCCGGCTCATCCAGAGGTAAACAATCACGACTATGAACGTAAGCCAGTCCACTCCCAGAGGGTCCAGTTTCATCTTCGCTGGCATCACAGGAGCCATCATGAAGCTTCACTGACTGACAGCTGGGCTCATCACCCAGAATATGTTCAAGTTCGCCGTAAAAAGTGCGGTTTTTTGGCCACGGCCACTTCTTTGGTTCGTGTCCTTGGATTCTTTAAACTTTTTTTTTTTGCATTGCCACCTATCAGATACATATCGGATGTCAGTACCACATATGAAAGCGTCTCATATCGGAATTGAAAAATTTGCTGTTTACACTGACACACAGAGAACTGTGGCACATATAAGGAAAAAGACCAGATTTGAGCCACTTTTACCTGCAGTGTGAACAAAGCCAAAAGCTGCTGCCGGTGTTGTATCTGATTCAGTTCCCCCTCAAATTCACGTTCCCTTTGACAAATCAGG